GGGACTTGGGTGCCTTGTGCTGAATTCGATTATTCCTGCCTGATCTTCAAGCAGCACAATCTAGTCCCTATTACAAAGTCCTCTGTGCTTTTGTAACTAAGTGGTCAATTCCCTGGTATCCGCCAGTGGGCCCAGAACACGTCTGACCAAATATCCGGCTTGCCACCCTGTGCTTCCTGGCAGTTGCTTCCTGTTGTCAGCCTGTGGGAGCCCTGGGGACACACCTTCATTTGAACAGCATCTCAAAATAGATGGGGAAGGGAAAGCCAATGCAAACATGTGACCAAACAGACTGCAAGGAGGAGCTAGACATTGTTTCCGATCTTTGTGCTTTTGCGCCCCGCCATTGGATGGGAAAAGCATTTTCCAATTGCATTTCTTTTCCTTGTGATGTAGGCCTGTCTTGTCCCTCTGATCAGCTCCCGGGAACAGGGACAGACTCTGTTCTCTGTTCCTTGACCTCATTGCAAACGTCTGACTCCAGGAGTCATCATGCATTATATTATTTAAACCCAACCTGCACTGAGCGTTTTCTCTAAACGCTCTTGCCACCCCCTTTTCTAGAGGAGGGAGCCAAGGCTGAGGAAGGATGAGGACTTGAGGAAGGTTCTCGGCCACAGGAGGCCAGGCTGCACCTGGGTTTAGGTTTCTAACACTCCTGTTGGGGAAACAGCAAACCCTGCCGTGCGGAATGGGAGGGGTGGGTGTGGAGCCTCGCTTCCTCTCTCCCAGCCATTCTGTCCTCTCTGCAATAAAGTTCATAGTCCAGGAAATTCTCTGAAAATGACAACGACTCTGAAACTTTCCCTGAAGATAAGAGCTGTTGGGGGTGGTGGGGAGCTCCCTCACTATTTGCCATCCCTTCAGCTGATGCTCAGTAACTCTTTATATATATATAAAGAAATAGATATATAATAATATATAATATATAATATATAATATATAATATATAATATATAATATATAATATATAATATATAATATATAATATATAATATATAATATATAATATATAATATATAATATATAATATATAATATATAATATATAATATATAATATATAATATATAATAATATATAATATATAATAATATATAATATATATATGTATTTCAGAGAGGAAGGGAGAGGTTAGAGAGAAATATCAATGATGAGAGAGAATCATCAATTCGCTGCCTCCTGCATGCCCCTCACCGGGGATAGAGCCCACAACATGGGTATGTGCCCTGACGGAGAATCGAACCATGACCTCCTGGTTCATAGGTCGATGCTCAACCACTGAGCCACACTGGCCAGGCTCAGTAACTATTTGTTAGTAGCCAGGCTTTCCAGCTAACCTTCAAGTCAGGATAAATCCTTCTAAAGAGGCCTCGTGACATTCAGGCCCAGATCCTGGCCAATCCTCCATGGGGGAGAAGGGGGGCCCAGCCCTGCCACCTCACCCCTCCCTTCTTCCTTTCTTCCTTCCAAGAGTTTTTGCAGCTCAACTGCCTCTCAGCCAAAGAGAAGCAACTGTTCATGTTAAGCAGGAGAGCGGTTTAGGCAGGCGCTTAAACAGAAATCGACTCCGGTCCAGGAAATAGTTAGTTATAAATGGGCACCTTGGCAAGGCAGGTGCTCCATCCCCTGCTGGCGAACCGCAGGTAATGCCAAACGGCATCTGTTTATCAACTGTCATGGCTTCAGGAAGCCAAACAGACCCACCTGCCCGTCACCCGTCACCAGGGCCTCTCCTCCCGGCGAGACCTTCCGAAATGACCACCCCCGAGATGAAAATGCTCCTGGGGGGAAACTTGAGGAGGCGCCTTTACTATGTGCTCCGGCTTCACGCCCTTTGTTGTTAGGAAATTCTTCCTGTAGCCAATTCCAGCCTCTGGAAAGCTAAATACAGGCTGAACAATAGGGCTGTTTTTGTTGTTGCTCCCTATCTGCTCTTTAATATCTCCTTTTAAAATAAAAGGCCTCGCCCTAGCTGGTTTGGCTCAGTGGATAGAGCGTCGGCCTGCAGGCCGAAGGGTCTCAGGTTCGATTCTGGTCAAGGGCACATGCCTGGGTTGCGGGCTCGATCCCCAGTGCGGGGCATGCGGGAGGCAGCTGATCGGTGGTTCTCTCTCATCATTGATGTTTCTTATCTCCCTCTCCCTCTCTTTTCCTCTCTGAAATCAATAAAAAAATGTAAAAAAAAAAAATTAGAGGTCTATCTGTAAAATGAACTTAATATCATCTACCTCCCAGTAGGGTCATTGAGAGGATTCAATGAGACAATATGTGGAAGGGGCTCAGCACAGGGTCTGGCTGGGAGCAAGCGCTCAGTAGTGGCCCGTGCTGTGACTACAATGAACTCTCTTCAGTCCCTTCATGTTTAACTGGAGACAATAACACCCCAGGAATTCTGTGAGGCCCGAAGCACATGCCATCTAATTTCCCTTTCCCTCTCTCCTGCCCTTTTAAGATGCTCCACCTACTGCCTGTGCAACAGCTGACTCACCTGTCAAGGCCCAAAATGCTGCCCCTTCCCAGGAGCCTTCCCGGGCCCCCACCCAGAGCCCCTGACTGGTTCTGTCTTGAATTCGGAGTCACTCAGTTCTGTTCTTTCTCTTGTCCATTCCACCCCATGAGCCGGAAGTCCAGGGGCAGAGCCTCTTCTTATCAGCCTCTCTCCAGTGTAAGAACTTAAGTAAATGCAATACTACTCCTCTCGCAGTTACCTAGAGATGAAGAGAGGTGGTGGTTGAGGGCAATCCTTGTTACTGACCATTATCTTCATGGGCTTCGCTCTGGAGCCCTCAGCAGGAAGAAGGGAAACTTGACCTCAGCAGCCTGTGGCTCAGTGGGCAGCACCCTGAGCCCTCTGGCGGACAGTCTGGGGTTGACGTAACACTCCATTCCTTACCCCCTCCCAAGGCCTTTCCCAGGGCATAAGGGCCCTTTAGGACTGCCCACATCGTATCAAAAATAGTAAGATGCATTCGCATCCCACCTGAAATGAAATTATGTGTAAACTGTGTGCAAGTGGAGTTGCAGTTGATTGGCTGACGTTTTGTTTTATAGCCATTTATTTAAATATTTGTAAATTTCCATTTTGCAATTTCCTGTTTTCATTTTGAAGCTAGTAGTTTCAACCATACTTCCTATACCCTGAGCCGAAGTCTAAGGGATGGGCCAGCAGTGCCTCTAGTAGGTTAGATTCCCAGGTCCTAGAGCCCATCTGGGCCATGCCCTATATATATCTATTTCTACCTGCTTATCTATATCTCTATAAATTTATCTATATATCATATATATTATCCCTATCTATCTAGCTAGCTAGCTAGCTAGCTAGCTGTCTAGGGGAGAAAAGCAACTGGGCAGACTTAGAGAAGAAGCGGGCGTGATGCGAGACTGCCCTCTAGAGGTTGCTCCAAGAAGGTGCAGGTGAGGAGCCCCCTCTTCTATCAAGCTGAGATCAACCCCACCACTCACTGACATTTACTGAGTGTCTGCTTATACCAGGCACCATGTCCGAGCTCTGGGAACAAGGGGTAATAGGAAGAGAATAAAGTTCATTCCTGCCTCTGGGAAGTCACCATTTTGCCATGGCCACTGCAAACACATCAACCCATGCTCACGATGCCGTGCAGTGACTACGGTAATAGATGTGTGTACGAAGTTCTATGGGGGGGATGGGAATAAGTCTGGGACAGTAAGAGAAGGCATCCCAGGGGAAGTGATATTGAGCTTGGGCCTTGAAGGATGAGTAAGAGTTTGCCAGGCAGCGCTGGAGAGGAAGGACATTCCAGGCACAGGGAACCGCATGAGCAAAGGCAATGCACTGTAGAAGTGCAGGCTTGTTGGGGGGCCTGCGAGAGCTGTGGTGTCGCTGGAGCGTGCATGGTCTGGAACAGTTCAAGACCCACCTAGAGAGGCAGGTGGGGCCAGAGGGAGAGGAAACTAGCATTGGAAAAACAAGAACGTGGCCCCCTGGCCAGGCTCCGGCGCCAAACAAGAGGCAGGAACCTCCCTCCGTCCCCACTGCCGGGGCCAGGCTAAGATCTTGCATTGACCTCCGTACTTCTCCTCCCTCCCACCTCCTACTTGCCCTGCCCGTTGCTACCTAAGGATGCTTCTAAATCGTGAGTGAATCTGTTCTTACTTCCCCCTGCTTAAACCTCTCCATCAACATGCACGAGACAAAAGTGAACTCCCGCCTCACATACACGGGGGTGAGTTTGGGGCTCTTTCAAGTAGCAAGGACCTGAGCCACACTGAAGTCACTGATACAATGGGGGGTATTAAGAGGCCAACGGGGAAGGCCACGCAGGGGCGGGAAGGTGGCTGGTCCACCAGGCCACAGTGCCGCCGTGGGGAAGGCAGTCCTTGACTGGCAAGCATGACACATTCCTAGGAAAGCGCATGAGCGTGATATGTCTGAAGGCTGAACAGCTGATGTCTGTGTTAAGGGAAGTAAAGCTCTGGTCCGAGAGAGCAAACAAACATCTCAAAATACCTACGTGTGGCTCAGAAGCAGAATAAAGCAGTGACTAAGCGTATTTGGTTCTAGGGTCAGATGGTCCGGCTCCATCACTTACTGCCTATGAGATTCTGGGCAACATTAACGGACTGCTCTCCGCCCCTTTGAAAAGGTTCTTTTCTAAAACAATGGCATAGAACCTACCTCAGACGTAACTGTGCAGAGTAAACGCCTCGCACATGACAAGTGTGTGGAACAGAGTGTCCACATAATAACCACTCAATAAATGTCCTTTATTGTGATTCATGCAGACACGGGGACAGAGAGTTCTAATTACCCCCTGCAGTACCAGTCCTACCCACGCTCCCTTTCTTCCTGTGAGTCATGGAAACCCCGCCCGTAAGCGTTAGTAGGATAAGCGGTCGTCCAGCCAGACACCAGATTTTACGACCCTCCTTGCAGCTCGGTGTGGCCACGTGCCTACGTTCTGGCCAATGGGAGGTGAGCAAGAGTGAGGTCCGCAACTTCTGGATTGCATCTTTAGAAAAGAAAAAGGAGCTTGTTCTCTTCACAGCCCCGCTTCCTGCTGATTGAGGGGTGGCCTAGACACAGAGATGGAAGCCACACGCTGAGGATGGCAGAGCCACGCTGAACGCCCTGGGCTGCTCACCTCCGACCGCTTCATGAGAAAGAAATGACCTTAACAGCAAAGTATTCAAAACAAGTAAGCGAGGAAGTGAGGGAAGGAAGCCAACACAGGAAGTGCTGAGGAGCAGATGACTGCTGTAGGCAGCTGGGGTTCCATCCTGTGTAGAACCCGCCTCAGAGCTGCCCTCACCAGGAGTGGGAAAGCTGGGGTAGTCACCCACCGAATCCTGCCCGCCGTCGGCTGAGGGCTTTCCCCAGAGCTGTTACCCCCCAACATTGCCCCGTTCCTGGCCAGGCATGCTTCAGCAGCCCAGCAGCCTCAGGTGGGCAGCTGCAGGTGCTTGACGTACAGACCGCCTGTGTGTAAGGGAAGGTATAGAAGGGAGCAGTGCATGTGGAAGGGATGAGGGAGGGGCACTGACGTTGTCTGCCACAGGACTAACAGGAACTGAGTCTCCTTTTCTTTAAGCAAGGGGTGAAGTTTCTCAAAAAAGAGGCTGGGATGCCCGGTACTGAGAGCCTCTTAGAGGGGAAAGTGGGGAGGGTTGAGGGGACTGTTACAGGGTGTGGGACTGAGCCATGGAAGGCTTACAGAATGTTACAGAATGTGCTAAGGGGAGGAAATGGGACATGAGAAATTGAATGTGCTGGGAGGGGGGACTGACGTATGGAGGATTGTGTCAGGGTTAGGAACCATAAAAGAAAAATTACTAGATTGTCTTAGAAAAACAATGTGTTATGATATGCTCCAGCCAGGTGTGACTCTGTTTACCCCCCCTTTGTGCTTATGAACTTTCTGTGAACTTCTAAGGAACAGCGAATGGAATGCTTTGTATTTTTTCCAACACTGATTTGCTATGAAGGATCATACTGCACCCTTGGTCTCCGCCACATGCTCCAAATCTCCCAGAGGGGGAGATAGGCGCTGTGGTCAGCTGGCCAGCTTAAGAAAGGCTCTTAAATTTAAATTCTGAGTCGGTGGTCTATCTCGTTGAGCCAACCCATAACAGGGACAAGCAGAGCTGGGTGAGAGGGAGAGTCCACATCAAACACCTCCTTTCTGAGGCCTAGGACGGAATCCCCTCCCTTGTATGGCACAGTGGAACATGTAAAATAAAATTGCTGTCCCTTTTCTACACACGCTATTACTCTTTTGAGCTCCTTCATTCATTGTTGCCTAGTGTGTGTTTCGTGAAGGGAAGACAGGCCCATCATTTCACCGGGGATTTCTGCTGAGACAGCCAGTTCACCCTCCGCCTAGATTTCCAGGGGGAGTAGCTGCTAGTCACACACCCCCGCACCCCCTGTTCCCTCCCCTCCCGGCCCCCGTGTCAGCTCTGCCTGAAGGCTCTCTCCTGTCATGGCCACCCAGCAAGAGCAGCAGTTCCGAGCATAATCCACACAACATCCAGAGAGAGAAAACTAATTCTTTATCCCTGTTGTGTCTCTTTCTTGGAAACCCCCTGGCAGAATTCCCTGCATATATCATTCACCAAACTCGGGTTCTATGTAGAGGGACCAACCATCTCAGTTGGCCTGGGACTCGGGGGTGTGCTGGGATGTGGGCCTTTAATGCCAAAGCAAAGACACCCTCCAGAGCTCCCCATAGGCTCAGATTGAAGCTGATCTCCAAGTGAGACCATATCTTGCTTCTCTTTTCCCTGCTTCCCCACATTTCCTGAGGACAGCCTGTCCATCAGTCACTTGCACAAGCATCCCTGCCTCAGGCTGTGCTCTAGGGAACCCAGTGGAGGGCACCTGACCACTGCTGAACCAGTCAGCGGCAAGGGAAACAAAATCACCGTGATTCATTCAGGTTCTGCCCCAGGGTTGGGCTGGAGTTCCCGTCTGCTGACACACATTACACTGTGGAGAAGGAACTCCGGGCTCAAAACAGGCGATGATTAAGAGGGAAGAAGAGGAAAACATGATTATTGGTAAAGCCATCGAATCCACAGAGCTTCTCTAGCAAGTAATGCTCTTGGGGGAGGAAAAAAAATCAGTTAGGAATTTTAAAAAAAAAAAAGAAGAAGAAGAAGCAATCCTGTTACATCTAGGCTACCCACTGTATAAGGCGCAACGTTTGGGATTTTATGCAAGTTAAGCCACAGCTTAACATATTTAGTTAAAGAAGGACAAATGCTTCTGTGACCCTTACTATGTGCCAAGCAGTGTTCTACATACTTTATAAATATTAATTCGTTTAATCTGCTAAATAATCTTGTATAAGGAAATGGAAACACAGAGAAGTTAATCAACTGGTCCAAGATCACCTGGATAGTAAGGACGCTGCAGCCAGCGATCAGCTGTTGCCCATCAATGGCCCAGTTAACCAAAGATGGGCGACCTCACTGAGATTTTCACCTTCGAGATCAAGAATTAGCCATGAACCCTGCAGAACTCTCCCGTCAGATTCTCTGATTCTCGATACCGCCTCCACACCTGAGAATGAAGTTTAGAGCAGTGATTAGTAAACTGAAAGGTCTTAGCTGTTGGAATGAGAATATTGATTCATCCATTCAACAGATACTGATTGAACTCCTTCTCTGGGCCAGATACTGTTCTACACACAGTGAAAAAAAAATAGGCAAAGATCTCTGCTCCCTGCCTTGAGGAGCTTAAATGTAGGAAGGAGAAGGAGGACAAATAGTAAGCATTTGTTTGTTATAGTCAAAATGGAAAAGTGGTTAGAAGATGCTAAGTACTATGGAGGAAATCATAGAGCCCAGGAAGAAGTTTGGGGAGAGTAGGGAACAATCTTAAATTTGAAGCATTTGGTTGCAATCTTAAATAGGGAGGTCAGAGCAGACCTCATTGGAAAGGCGAGATTTGAGCCAATATAGGAAAGAAACTAGGGAGTGGACTTAAAGGGGAAGAGCAGGAATATGGGAAGGTGAGCAGAGAGTTGTAGGACAGGTCGGACGAGCAACCGAGGACCAAGGAGGTGGAGTTGTAGGAACTCGGCTTTTCTCTGAGAGCAGTGGGAAGCCGTGGCAGAATCCTGAGCAGCGGGGTGAGTTGGTGTACTCGTAAAGCAACTCCTCACTGAACGCCCTGAACAGGTTTGTGACTGAATGACATATAACCAAGTCAGTTTTACTGCAGGCTACTTGATATAAGCAAGAGTTAAGTTCCTATGCAACTCATCTACACTCTAAGGAAAGGACATTATTCCAGGACTTGCTGCATCTTGAAAGGATCTCTCTGGCTTCTGGGTAGGTGAGATTAGATGGTACGGAAACAAGTAAAAGCAAGGCAAGCAAGGGTTAGGTCTGCGCAGTAACCCAGCTGAGCAAATAAAGGGGACTCGAGCTAGAGCTGTGGCACAGCAGGTGAGGAAAAGTGGTCAGATCCTAGACAGAATTTGAAGTCAGATCCAGAATGGTTGGGGGGCTGGGGGAAGAGAGAGAGAGAGACCAAGACACAGGTCTCTCCAAATCTTCCATTGAGCGCCCTCTGTCGGACAAATGTAAAATTGCCTCCCATTTAAAAAACTTCCTGGTAGTGTGGAATGAAAGGTTGCAGAATTAACCTTCCGAGGCAGATTAGAGGAGAAAGGCTCCCATCAGACCCCCCACTCCCATTAGTCACCATCCATACCCTGAGGTTAAGGTTCTTCGTTAGAAAGAAATTGGTATAGCCCCTAGTCTTGCCCAGCTCTGAGTCTTTACCAGGCCTGGAACATTACTGAACACAAGATTCCTAGTTTGGGCTCTTTAGCAGAGACCTCTCAAATGAAATGCTCAGGCTGCCCAGGTTTTATGGGAATTGTAGTACCAGACAAAAATATAGAATGTTGGAAAACAGAGGCCTGGAACTTTCTTAATCCAATGCTGCAGGAAGACTCAGTCCCAAACCCCGCTAAAAAAAACGAATACCAGCAGTAATGGGAAGCAGATGGCTCAACCTACACAGCTCCCTATAGGAGGCCCTACCCATTGGTCTTCTTTGGAGCAGTCCTGAAGGATGCTGGTTGGACAAGGGAAGCCCTCCAAGCAGATAGAGATCATAAGGACCAAGGAGATCATTCCACTGCCCAGGAAGCGAGTTCGTAGTGTGCCTATGAGATCTGCTGATTCTAGTAGAGACTTGTCCAAGAGTGCTTAGAGTAGCTATTGTGATTATCTTTTTTTTTTTCCTTTCCCACTATTGTAAATGAGTACTGATTACTAGTAGGTACTGCTAATCAGAACTAAAACTGAGATTTTAATAAGAACTAACACTGGGACTTTGTTATGGCCAGTTAATATATAAGGAAATTTACCTTATCATTGAACACGGATGTTTAGAAATATTTTGGGGTTGGAGAAATTCTAGAAAATTAAGTGAACATGCTTAGTAAGTAAAACACGGGGAGATACAAAATTGATTTAAATATATATATTATACCATTTGACACGTTTTAAATCATAAGAGAGAGAGGGAGGAATTGAGCTGGAACTTAGAAGAACTTTGTGCAAAGATAATGACTGAGATCCATAGACTAAATATCTAAGTTATGGACAAAATGAAATTCAATGAACCTAGGTACTCAAAAAGGTCTTGGTGAACCAAGTGTCCATGAATCTGTCCTGACCTTGTACCACATGAGACCTTGCTGAATGGAAGGAAGCTCCAAATGAGCACGTGGTGGGGCAGATGGCAGTCATATCTATTGTTTGATCCATAAATGACAGGATGATATGGAGCCACTCCAAGGTAAGGCTGAGCTTGAACTAGAAGACTAGACTTCTTTAGATTATAGTCCTTGGGGAATAGCTGCCTCACGATGTGGCCTCTGGATACTAACTGAACACGGAGGATTTAACTTTGGGAAGATGAGTTATGGTTGTTCTTGAGGTGGTTGGGTCATGCTTGGTGGAGGTCATCTTAGGCCATGTTAGGAGAAAGGTATGTTTGTGTGTCTGTAAGTATCTATGTGCACACGTGTGTGATATACACATGTGCTGGACAAAGTGGCCTAGAATGTAGTGGAGATCTTTTGGGATATCTGCCTGGCTATGAGTCTCACTTCCCCTTTTCTAGATACTGCCCCTCAATTCTTGGTATGGACTCCAACAGTCACATTGGAAAGGTTGTTTGAGTTTTGTTTTGTTTAAATGCATGGTTGTTGTTCTTTTTTTTTTTTTACTATATCTTTACTGATTTCAGAGAGAGAGAGAGAGAGATAGAAGCATCAATGATGAGAGAAAGTCATTGATTGGCTGCCTCCTGCACACCCCCACACTGGGGACTGAGCCTGAAACCCAGACATGTGCCCTGACCAGGAATCCAACCATGACCTCCTGGTTCATAGGTCAATGCTCAACCACTAAACACAGTCAGGTTTTAATGTTTTGATTTCTTATCTAATTGTATCGTGAGAATGTGGTCTGTAAGATATTGATTCTTTGGTATTTATTGAATCTTGTCTTGTGGCTTAGTAAGTGGTCAATTTTTAAGTGTCCATCTGTGCTTGAAAAGTGTGTCCACGCTAATTGCTGAGGGAAAAGTTCTATACAAGTTCAATAAATAAAGGTAGTTAATTGTGTTGGTCAAATCCTTTCTATCCTAGTTAAATATTGGTCTGTTAGATCTGTCAATTACCAACAGTTGTGTTAAATCTCCCACCATGAGGGTGAATTTCTGAATTTCTCCTTATAATTTTGCCAACTTTCACTTTATATGCATGTTATTAGATGTATACAGTTTAGAATTATAGTCTCTTCATGAATTGAACCCTTTATTAATGTATATATGAGCCTCTTTTCTGTATAGTGTTTTTGCTTTAAAGGATATTGTGCCTGATGTTAATACAGTTATAAGGCCTGTTACTCTGGCCTACTTAAGGGCATTGCTTCAGAAATCCTCCCTTTTCCCCCTCCTTTCTCACCAGTTTTTTCCATTTCTGTTGGTTTATTCCAATCTGATAAAACCATGCAGCTATTTTTTTTATCATAAAGAAAAATTCACTTGACCCCACTTCCTCCTCCAGCTACAGCTTCGTTTCTTTGTTCCCCTTTACAGCAAAATTCCTCAAAAGAATGATATTTTGTCCTCTTCTCCCATTCTCTTTTCTCATTCTTAGTTTTTTATTCACTATTTTACACTATGATTTAAAATAACCTGTTTTATAGAAACAGACTCATGGTTACAGAGAACAGACTGACAGCTGTCAGAAGGGAGAGGGCTTGGGGGGCTGAGTGAAAAAGGTGAAGAGAATAAACAAAACCAAAAAACTCATAAACATAGACAACAACAGTATGGTGATTACCAGAGGGAAAGGTGGGGTGGAGCAGGTAGAAGCAGGGAAACGGGAGATAAATGGTGAAATGGTGATAAAGGGGAACTTAGCCTTGGATGGTGAACACATAATGAAGATATATTACAGAATTGTATACTTGAAACATTTATAATTTTATTAACCAATGCCACCACAATAAATTAAATAAAAATTAAAAATAATAAATAAATAATCTGTTATTTCAGAAGAAATACACAAGCATTGTAGAAAATTAAAAACTGTAGATAAGCAAAAATAATAACATAAAAACATCATATTCTTGCCATGCTGAGAGTTTCAGTGTTACTAACAGTACAATTATAGTAATAACTTGATCTTTTATATATGTGTGTATTTTTAATATATGGTTTTTACATATTTTTTTATTTATTTCAGAGAGGAAGGGAGAAGGAGGGAAAGAGAAACATCAATGATGAGAGAGAATCATTGATTGCCTTCATGACCTACACTGGGGATTGAGCCTGCAACTGGGCATGTGCCCTGTCTGGGAATCAAACCGTGACCTCCTGGTTCATAGGTCCATGTTCAACCACTGAGCCACACCAGTCGGGCAGAACCTGTTTCAATTTTGTTTGTTCATTTATGTTGTTCTTTAGAATCCACATACTGTATAAGTGAAATCATGTGGTATTTGTATTTCTCTGCCTGACTTATTTCACTGAACGTAATACCTCCAGGTCCTTCCATGGTGTCACAAATGGTAAAATTTTATCCTTTTTTATGGCCAGCTAATGTTCCATTGTCTATATGTACCACAGGTTTTTTTTATCCACTTGTCTATGGGCACTTGAGTTAGTGGTACATACTAGTATGTACAATGGAACATTAGCTGGCCATAAATAACACTGCAATGAACATAGGGTGTGTATATTCTTTTGAGTTAGTGTTTTGGATTTCTTTGGATAAATCCCCAGAAGTAGAATCACTGGGTCATAAGGCAGGTCCATTTGTAATCTTTTGAGGAAACTCCATACTGTTTTCCATAGTGGCTGCACCAATCTGCATTCCCACCAACAGTGCACTAGGGTTCCCTTTTCTCCACATCCCGGCCATTTTGTCATTTGTAAATTTATTAATGATAGCCATTCTGACAGGTGTAAGGTGATATCTCATTGTGGTTTTAATTTGCATTTCTCTCACAATTATTGACGTTGAGCATCGTTTCATGTGTCTGTTGGCCTTCTGTATGCCCCTTTTGGAGAAGTGTCTACTCATATCCTCTGTCTATTTTTTAATGTTGGATTGTTTGTATTTTTTTGGTGTTGAGTAGCATGAGTTCTTTACAAATTTTGTATATTAACCCCATATCAGATGTATCATTGGCAAATATATTCTCTCATTTAGTAGGTTGTCTCTTAGTTTTTTTGATGGTTTCCTTTGCTGTGCAAAAAGTTTTTAGTTTGATGTAACCCCATTTGTTTATTTCTTCTTTTGTTTGCATTTGAGAATTAAATTTTATAAGAGGTGAAAGCACTTAACATAATGCTTGCCATATGGTGAGGTCTCAATAAATGGTAGTTTGTAACACTGCAAATAAGAGAAATTTGGTAGTCTAGTCAGAGGTACATATCCACTTATGCCTGGAAAAGCCATGATAGGAATTAAGTCTGTGGGACTTCAAAACTCCACACTCTTTCCACTCTATTATGCTGGCAGGTTATCTTAAGTCTCCTTAATCATAAAATGTTTTTCTAAGAGTTCAGACTCTCCGGATTAGTATAATTTTTGATATTTTTCTATCATAGATTTAATGCATATTCATAAATCAAGCTTATTACACCTCCCAGGATTAACTATTAATATAGCCTTATTTTCTTCCAATCTTTTTTCCATAGTTTTTCACAATGCTGTACATACAGTTTTGCATTTTTCACGTCTTACATCACAAAAATTTTCTCAATCTAAAGTACTCTTCAGGCCCTAGCTGGTTTGGCTCAGTGGATAGAGGGTCGGCCTGCGGACTGAAGGGTCCCAGGTTCGATTCCAGTCAGAGGCACATGCCCAGGTTGTGGGATTGATCTCCAGTAGGGGGGCGTGCAGGAGGCAGCCGATCAGTGATTCTCTCTCATCTTTGATGTTTCTATCTCTCTCTCCCTCTCTGAAATCAATTTTAAAAAATATATTAAAAAATACTCTTCAGAAACATGATTTTAAATATCTGCTTATATCATCAAGTGAAAGATAGCATAATTTACTGAACCATTTACTTGTTTCCAATTTCGATAAACTCTGCAGTGCACATATTTTAAATAGAATTTTTGCACTTCTGATTATTTCTTCAGGATAAATTCCCAGAAGTTATATTCTTGTGTCAAAAAGGATCGTAAGAGTTTAAAAAGGCTCTCAATTCCTCAAGAATTTCTGGATCAAGGAGACTGGACCATTCAAAGCCTTCCAATGAATGTTGCCAAATTGCTTTCAAGGAAGGTCTTCTATTTCATACTCCGGCAGCAGTATAGGAGATTGCCTGGCTCACATTAATAAAAGGAACTTTGCTCTTTTGATAATTGCGAAATGTTGCGTTTAAACTTCTATTTCTTTGATTAGTGGAGTTGAATGTTTTTTCCCTTCAATTTATAATTCCTTAGTGAATTGCTTATTCCTATCCTCTGCTTGTTTTTCTATCAGGGTACTGTTTATCCTTAGAATGTTTTTACAATACAAAATAATACTTAAAAAAAAAAAATCTGGTTGCTAGTGCATGACTGCTGAACACCAGCAGAAGCCCACCCGCGAACTTTCGAGGCCAGCGGGCAGCCTTTATTCCCCACGGCGGAAGCAAGGTTTCCACGAATCACCAACCCGGGACTTGCTGCAAAGGCGTTGGCTCCCCCAGCCCCGGAAAGAGCGTCTCGCGGGATCTCAGCTGTCCTTGGGCCTACGACCCGACTACAAGTCCCAACATGCAGCGCGCCTCAAGGCCCGAGCGCTCGAATGAAGTCTCGGGTCCAAGGTCAGGTGTCTGTCTGCGTCAGGCGTCCGGTCATCTCTCTCACGCCTCTTACCGCCGCTTCCATCTTAGTCGCCATTTTGTGAGGGAGGTTATGGAACCTCTGAGTCCCGCCGACTCTATGGTCGAGCATTTCAGAGATCAACCAATCGGAAGCCAGATCTCGGGAGAAAACCCCGCCTTTGCCCGCAGGGAGGCGGGAAATGCCACGAAGCTCCTGTGAAGAGAGAGGAAGGAGCCGCGGAAAACCAATTAGAAAAGAGGAATTGAGGACGTTAACCAATGGGAGCGCGGGGGGGTTGCGGCCAATGAGAGTGGGGGGACCCCGAGACACGTGGGTGGGGGAGCTGAGCTCTGAAACCTAGAGCTAAAGCGGGGAGGTGAGTCAGTCACCTTGAGCCGGGCGAGCGCCGTGGTCTGAGCAAGGGCAGCAGGGCTGTGGGAGTGCAGGTGACTTGGGGCCTGGAGCCAGCGATTGGCAGGGGTGTGGGCTGGGCTGTGCGGAGGGGCATTTGCCCCCAGGGCCGGGGGAGACGGTGGGCATCTGTAGCCTTAACAGTTCATGTCAATGACCAACGGTAACGAGCGATTAACTGCCCGACTTAGGCGGGCGGAGCCGCGAGCTGTGTAAAATGAACCAGGGGGACCCTGCACGGCGCCTGCCCCGGGCCGGCCTCCAGTCTTCCCGGGAGACCGGCCTCTTTCGCAACATTTCCCTCCCGGGGCTCGGGCTTCCTTCCGCTCCTCCCGATCTGCGTGACCTTCCTCTGCAGACCCGCCACGCGGAAAGCGGGGGACCCGGGAGCTCGCGCTGTCCCTCTGACCTCTAGTGCTGGGCACGGTGCTAGGAAGAGCGTGGGTCCGGGGACGACGGGCGGGAGTGCAGGGGACGACCGAAGGTCGCCACTCTCCGGAAATAACCAGGCTGTGCATGGACTTTTCTGTTTCCCCCTGCAGACGGGAAACATGCAGACCACCGGGGCACTGCTCATCCCTCCGGCTCTGGTAAGCTGCGGCTCCCGGGCGCTCTGTCGCGCCAGGTGTGGGAGCCATCGATGTGTGTAATGAATGGACTGAGATCGAGATGATGGTGGCTCTTTGGGGAGGCTGTGGGATGGGGTGCAGTTAACCCCTGTTTATTTGGATCTCTAAACCAAACCGTCTTGGCTTGGGAACGTGGTCAGAGAGGCTGGATCTGACCTTTACCCCCAGCCTGGCCCACGGATACAGTGATTTTCTACCCTGGCTGCTCATTAAAAATCAACCGGGGAGCCTTAAAAAGTACTGATCCCCAGGCTGTACTGACTCCGGGAAGGAGGATGGAATCCGTGCATCTGTGGTTTTTAGAACTCCCCAGGTGATTCCAGTGTTCAGCCAAGTTTGAGAACCACTGCGCTAAAAAAAAATATGTCAAGGAAACCAGGTTCTAAAGGGCTCAGCTTAGGTGGCTGTTTCAGGGGCCTCTGCAGGCTCACTGGTCCACTCCCTTCAGGGTATGTAACAGTGAGTACCGTTCTAGCAAAATAAGATTTCCCCCTTCCACTTCCTTTGCTGATCTCGGTACAGACCCTTCCTGTGCCGGGTTTGATACCAGCGTGGGGTTTTGTTCATTCTGAGATCCTGATGAGGGCCGTGCCCATGGAAGTGAACTTTGGTACCCAGTTTTAAATGGGAAGGTTGCCACTGCTGACAACACCAGCGTCTCAGGATGGTTGTCTGGTGCAGGCCTCGTGGTAGAAACAGGAATACTCTATATGACCTTGAAATACAATGGACTTTCTCTGTTTCTAATATTTGTAGTCCTCCTTGATAGAAGCTCAGCCCTTGGGTTTGTGGGGGGTTTTCCTTGCCTGATTTGGGGGGGCATGTCTTTCTGATTTTACAGATCCGCTGCTGCACCAGGGGTCTACTCAGGCCTGTGTCTGCCTCCTTCCTGAGTAGGCCAGAGATCCCATCTGAACAGGTAAAGGAGCATGGGCCCTCTTAGGAATTTCTCCAGACAGAGGTCCTTCAAGTTAGTTGAGTCGCCTTTAGGCCAAAGTGGAAGGAGAGTTAGAGAATCTGAGGTGCTTTAGATAGTGCTAAGTACCCCCAAGGGGAGCATTGTAGGTGAGAAACTTGCAAAAGGGAGGCTTCCCTAACCCATGACATTTCCCTGGCCCTCTCTGAGAACGGACCCTGAGAGTAACTCCCAGCATGCTCTGCAGTCTGAGCATTTTGTACTTGCCAGGCAGTTTGCCAGCAGTTTCAGAGCTCAGGTGGGTGGGGTGAAGGGGGTGGAGTCAGCCACCTGTCCTTGTGCCTCACTATCTCCTTTATCGCCTCTCTCTCTCTCTCTCTCTCTCTCTCTCTCTCTCTCTCTCTCTCTCTCTCTCTCTCGGTCCTTCTAGCCTTCCTACAGCAGCTCCCCACTCCAGGTGGCCAGACGGGAGTTCCAAACCAGTGTTGTCTCCCGGGACATTGACACAGCGGCCAAGTTTATTGGTGCTGGGGCTGCCACAGTGGGTGTGGCTGGTTCAGGGGCCGGAATTGGAACAGTGTTCGGCAGTTTGATCATTGGCTATGCCAGGTGAGTTTGGAGGTGGTCTAGACTATCCCTCATCATAAATTCCACCCTGTTTGGGGGAAGCCTGGGCAAGAGGACATCCCTATAGTTTCTGGCTTATTCGGTGCACCTCCTGTTTTCTCCAGGAGGAGAGGAGAAACCTCCCTGAACTCTCTGAGTCAGAATTTAAACATGCTTCCACCCTGGCTCCCTTAAACTTACCATGGCAGCGCTCCGCTTATCGGGCCAAATCCCGAGGACATGTGCAGGCGAGGCCCTCTCCCAGTGTCAGCAATCCCCGTGCACCTAACCTCCCTGAGTCCTCCACCACCACCCATGCCCTCACCCCTTCCTTTCCATCGGTCTTTGTCCCTGGCAGGAACCCGTCTCTCAAGCAGCAGCTCTTCTCCTATGCCATTCTGGGCTTTGCCCTGTCTGAGGCCATGGGGCTCTTCTGTTTGATGGTCGCCTTCCTCATCCTCTTCGCCATGTGAGGCTCCGTGGGGTCACCTACCCGTCCCTGCTGCTTCGATTCCAGGCCCGGTGCTGGAATGTGCCCATTAAACACCAGATTTCTCTAAACCCATATGCCTGTGCCTCTGTCCTTTGCCCTTGGGGAGGGTTTTGGTGGAAAGATGGGACAAGGGAAGTGGGATTGGGTCAGCTGCTGGTGATTAGGAACTCCTCAGGGCTGAGAACTATCATTGCTGTGACTGTAAGAACGCAGAGGTTCTCATTGTCTCCCCGGGAGAGCATGAGCTTGTCTAAGTAATAATTGGTGCTTTTTCCCTTCAAATTTAGTATAATAATATGTAACATTTTTTTAAATATATTTTATTGATTTTTTTACAGAGAGGAAGGGAGAGGGATAGAGAGTTAGAAACATCGATGGGAGAGAAACATCGATCAGCTGCCTCCTGCACACCCCCTACTGGGGATGTGCCTGCAACCAAGGTACATGCCCTTGACCGGAATCGAACCCGGGACCTTTCAGTCCGCAGGCCGACTCTCTCTCCACTGAGCCAAACCAGCCAGGGCAATATGTAACATTTTTGAGGGGTTCATTTGCGCCAAGCTCTGTCCCGAGTGTTTTATGTTTTTATCTCAGCAACCCTATGAATGATAAGTACAGTGATTAGTTTTACAAATGGGGGAACTGAGGCTTAGGGAAGCAAAATAACTTGTCTACCATCACAGAGCTGGTGAGCGGCAGAATTAGGGATTCCCCTCAGGCCAGCCTAAACCGTCAACTATGCTGTCCCATCTGTTCTACTCTTGGCCACACAATTGAGGGAAACTTAGTCCCGAAGAAGTTAGAGATGGAGATAGGCCTCCACCCACCTACATTCGGCCCCACGTGTAAATGTCATTATCAGTTCGCCTTTTTGAGTGCCTAGGTGTCCTTGAACAGAGCAGATGAGGCACACAGTCTGTTCTTGGAGAATGTACAATCATAGCTTTGCTAGGATAAACGGTGTTTTGGGGGGAGGGGAGGAGGAGCAAACTAACAAATTGCTTGAGAGCGTCTCGAAGCATCGTCTCAAAGTCTGTGCTCAGCAGGCTCTCCATTGGCCAAAGTGGGACTGATAATCTAGGTAAGAGAAAGCTAAGCTGATAGACTCACACCTGCTGCTTCTCTAAGCTCTAGCAGGAGCAAACCAGGGGCAGCCTGAACACAGGTGCTGGTAGACATGGTTATCTCAAATTGGGTGGTTTCAAAAGGAGCAATAACTTATAAGTGGGACCCATTTTGTGAAAACCTTTACCTCTATTGCAAAATATCTGTGAAATAGTGAAACCAAGAATATTCCCAATTAGTGTTAACCCCAAACATGTGAATCAATAAAATTGATTCGTAATTTATATGCAATTGGAAGATAGTCATGTGAGTACTTAGGTGGTAAGCATCCTCCTAGGAGTCTAGGGGAAGGCAAAGAAATCTAAGGTCCTTGCTCTGAAGGAGTATGGGTATCAGCAGAGTGGATGTAATAGTAAAAATGCCTAGCAGCCCTGCCTGGCTTAGCTCAGTGGACAGAGTGTTGGCCTGTGGACTGAAGGTTCGATTCCAGGCAAGGGCACATGCCCGGGTTGTGGGCTCAATCCCCAGTGGGGGATGTGCAGGAGGCAGATCAATCAATGATTCTCTCATCATTGATGTTTCTCTCTCTCCCTTCCCCTTCCTCTCTGAAATCAATAAAAATATTTTTTTAAAAAATGCCTAGCAGCATGTAAATATCGGCGTAGTGAAATAAACATTAAACACCAATATTATTGTGCTGCTTTAAAAAAAAAAAATAGTGAAAATGCCGTGCGTTATGGAATATGTGGGTACAGAAGCTACGTGCCGTAGAAGAGGAAAAGCGGAGACCAGTGATAGTTGCAATACTATCAGCTGACAGCTGAGCACTTGTATGTTGGCTCATTGCTAAGCACTTTCCATGAATAACTTCCAGCTTCCCTCTGAAGTCATCTTACAGGTAAGGAAAAAGGGAGGCCCAGAAAGCTGAGGCACAGAGCAGTTGGTAAAGCTGGGATTCAAACTCCAGGACCTGTGTTCTTACCACTGCTGACTCCTCTAAGGTTTGTACAAGTTTAGTGACATGCTCAAGATCATACAGCAGACCAAGGATTCTAATCCAAGTCCATCTAACATTCATTCCACAATCATGATCTTAAGCACAAGTCTTCTCAACTTGGCCCATTTGGGGCCAGGTAATTCATTGCTGTGGGGTTGTCTGTGCATTGTATGACTGCTAGCAGCATCCTTGGCCTCTTATCCACTGGATGACAGCAACAACCTCCTCTTCCCCAGTCATGACAACCAATCGCCAAATAGATAATTGACAGATGTCTCTTGACAAATCACTTCCAGTTGAGAACTACTGGTCTACCATAATCTGCTGCCTATCCCCAGCCTCTTCACCTTAAGTAACTCAAGGGTCACAGCAAGCCAGCGAGAGAACCAAAGCAGAGCCCAGGAATCCCAGGGCCGAAGAGGAGGAATGGGGCTGAGGTTAAACTGGCAGCCGAGGTATCCCCAAGGGAGCCGTGGATTAACTGTTAATACTGTTACGCAAACAGGATACAGTAACCCTTTGGGATGTCAGGCTGGCATCCTTGCCAGGTCACTACCCTCTGGTTGTAATCAAGGAGCAGCCCCCAGAGAGGTGGTTGCCTTTTTCTTCCTGCGAAGCTCCAGGAAACATTTTTACCAGGAGGGTAGTAATTTCCCTCCTCGTGGGCTCCAAACAGCCTTGGAATTGCATAGAAATCCAAGTCAGCAAGATTGGAAATGTGGTTAGTAGCCCATGGAGCCCTACAGGGTCGGGGGAGAATGCTCCCCTCCCTCAACCAGGCTAGTCAGTCAGTTACCACTGAGGCTTTTATCTAGGGCAGGGGTGGGCAAACTTTTTGACTCGAGGGCCACAGTGGGTTCTTAAACTGGACCGGACGGCCGGAACAAAAGCATGGATGGAGTGTTTGTGTGAACTAATATAAATTCAAAGTAAACATCATTACATAAAAGGGTACGGTCTTTTTTTTCAATAGTTTTATTCATTTCAAACGGGCGGTATCCGGCCCGCGGGCCATAGTTTGCCCACGGCTGATCTAGGATCTGTGGTCCATGGATGGAATCATTTTGCTCAGTGGGAATTATTTGTGAGTGGATAGGGATGTGTGTTGTTCTTGGAAGAGAATCCGTTGTTTTCACTATATTCTCAGGGGTAATGACCAAAAAACAGTCATCTCTACATTAGGAGTTCGGCATGCTAGCAAAGAGTATGGACTTCGAAGTCAAAGGAGTGTGCCAATCCCAGCCCTGCCACTTCCTAACTGGGAAGTTAATTATCTTCCTTGAGCCTTGATTTCCTCATCTGTAAAATGGGAATGAGAACAGTTCGTGGCAGTTGTGACAACTAAGTGAGATAATACAGGTAAATATATGCAAATGATGCATGTAATATATATGTAAGTATTATTACAATTTTAAATATAGCTATTACTCCTTATAGTCAGAAGTCTCAAAACACCCAGTCCAAGTTCTAATTTTTCCTTTTAGTACTGAATTTATGACCTGGATGGGAATGCTTCATCTTTCCCTGGCACTGAGCCCAGGACTAAAGGCTGGGCCCTGGAGGGGAAGGACTTCTCCAGAGAGCAGTGGGAGACAGAATTTTGGGGAAGAGGAGAAGAAGGATCTTAACAATGTATCTTTTTAGAGAGGGTTGAGACACAGCAGTGACCTGGACTAGACGACTAGTGACCTGTCCTTGAGGAAGGACACTTGCCAAGTTGCCATGAGCAAGGCACTACCAACTTTGTTGCATAAAAAGCTCAATACAGCCCTAGCCGGTTTGGCTCAGTGGACAGAGCGTTGCCTGCGGACCAAAGGGTCCCACAATTGATTCTGGTCAAGGGCATGTACCTCCGTTGCAGGCTCCTCCCCAGTCCAGGCCCTGGTCGGAGCTCGTGAGGAGGCAACCAATCGATGTGTTTCTCTCACATTGATGTTTCTCTGTCTTTCCTTCTGTCTTCCACTCTCCCTAAGATTCCATGGAAAAATACCTTTGGGTGAGGATTAACAAAATAATTCTATAAAATAAAATAAATAAAAAGTTCAATGCAGAGCAGTCTACTCCTGGGGCGGGAAGCAAGAGGCTTGGATCCAAGTTACTGTAGGAAGACCACTGGGTTGTGTCATGCACCCCCAGAGGGCATGAGAGTGGCTCCAGAAGGCATACGCTTGCCCTCTGGCCAACCTGACAGTGAAAAGCAGTCAGGTGCTGCCTTGAAAAAAATCAGTGAGCACCAGATAAAGTAACCAATGCCAATTTAAAAAATTCTTTGAGCCTCTCCCTGGTCCTTCCTCTTGCCCAGCTTAGAGGCTCCTGGAGTTCCCTTTAAGCAGCTGCCATCTCCTGCGGCCCTTAAGGCCTTGGTTTGCAGATTTTTTGTGCCAAGCTCAGGTCAGCCCTTTGGAAAGAAAATAAGAATACCTGAACAGGAAGAGGTGAAAACCTAAAGATCCATGGCCAGGGGAAGGGGAACTAACTACCATGCCCTCACTTCCCATCTGTTCACCATTTCTGCAGTCCTCACTGATGTCCGGTCCTAGCCATACAAGATCGGTGCTCCAGGCATTGTGCCCTAAAGGACATCACCTGCAGCAGCTGGACAGATGAGTAACCAAACCACTAAAATAAAAAGCAGTATGTGCCATAAAAAAGGCATGAATGACTCCAGAGGATGGCGTAATTAAAAATGACTAATAATAATATGCCTGGAGGTGTTAGGCTTGGCCAAGAAAGTAATATTCCAGCCAGCTTTGAAGGTGAGTGCTGTAAAAGTAATGAGAGTTAATTATTGAACATTTACTCTGGCCAGGTATTGTACACATTCATTATCACATTATTACTTTTTTATAGCTACTATTATTTTCCCAATATTACTGATGAGGAAAAGAGGCTCGACAAGTTCAATAACTACAGTTCCCCCTGGTATAGGGAGAGGCTGTTGCAGGGAGAGACCATAGGAGCACAGGGGGAAAGCAGGCGCATGGGCAGGAGAGGTGCCAGTTATCTGGACAGCGCTTGCCACTTGACACAATATTTCTGGAAATGTCACCGTTAATCCTCAGACCCTGAGAGGTAGGAAATATCACCATTCTGTGGACGAAGAATTTGGCTCAAATTGGATATTTGCCAAATGGTACCAATCAAAAGCTTGAACCTTCCTTCCAGATCTAAGGTAAGTGTTCTCTGTCCATTGCCTCATCGCTAACAGACCTTGCGCTTAAAAACAATGGTCCAGCAGTAAGGAGGGGAAAAACGGAGGAACCCTCTCACCCCGGAGTCCACAGTTGGGCCTCTGCAGTGCGTAGCCATGACGGAGTTCATGGAGTAGTGTTTTTCATTGTGTGAGGTTACCCAGTGAATTGACTTTTGGACCATCTTACTAAATCAATACCCAAGCAAAATTCAGAAATCCATTAAAAATAAATAAAATACAGAGTTTGAATAGTCAATAGATGCACAGTATAACATTTAAAAGGTATAAAGGGATAGGTAGGTATCTCCATTCCTTTGGCACACCTTGTCAGCAACAAAATTACCCAGAGGCAACCACTGTTGCGTTTTGTGTGTTTTTTTAAAATATATTTTATTGATTTTTTTTTATAGAGAAGAAGGGAGAGGGATAGAGAGTTAGAAACATCGATGAGAGAGATCGATCAGCTGCCTCCTGCACGCCCCCCACTGGGGATGTGCCCGCAACCAGGGTACATGCCCTTGACCGGAATCGAACCCGAGACCCTTGAGTCCGCAGGCCGACGCTCTATCCACTGAGCCAAACTGGTTCGCCCACTGTTGCGTTTCTTGTGTACTCTTTCCGAGATATCCTAGCACCTTTATTATAGAATGGTAAAACACTATGTCAACGAGCCATGAAATTTGTATAAACTATTGTATTGATTCATTTTGCTTCATGTTAAGTACCTAAGCTGTGCCAGGTCCTGTGCTGGATTCACAAATACATGGTCTGGAGCCCCAAGAGTGTGGTGTGTGTATGTGTGTGCGTGTTGGGGGATAGGGAGTTGGGAGCAACAGTTACCAAAGGACAATTGGTATAAGGTAAAATGCAGTAAATAAAATGCAGGCAGAGTTCATAGCTGTGACAGTATGACATAGTGGTTAGAACTTTTTCTCTGGAGTCAGGCAGATTTGGCGTCCAGCCCTAATTCTGCAGCTTGCTCTCAGTGTGACCCCTGTAAGTGACTGAACCTTTGTAAGCCTGTTTTTCCATCTGTCAAAACAGACTAATAATAGTACTTACTTCATAGGATCTTTCAAAGGAATCAGACAAAGTATACAAGGAGCTTGGCACATATTAAGTCTCAATAACTATCAGCTAAAAAAAAAAAAAAAAACCCACAAATTTTCAGCTGTCAATAAATGTTGGTCATTTTCATTCAAGATCACAGTTCCTGCCAAAGCCGGTTTGGCTCAGCGGATAGAGCGTCGGCCTGCGGACTGAAAGGTCCCAGGTTCGATTCCGGTCAAGGGCATGTACCTGGGTTGCAGGCACTTCCCCAGTGGGGGATGTGCAGGAGGCAGCTGATCGATGTTTCTCTCTCATCGATGTTTCTAACTCTCTATCTCTCTCCCTTCCTCTCTGCAAAAAATCAATAAAATATATTTAAAAAAAAAAAAAAAAAAGATCACAGTTCCTTACTGGAAATCACAAAGCTGTAAAAACTGGGCTTTTTTTTTTTGTAATTTTTACCTATTGATTTGAGAGAGAGAGAATCATCAATTTGTTATTCCATTTATGTATTCATTCACTGGTTGATTCTTTTTTAAAAATGTTCTTAACTGATTTTTTTTTTTTTAGGGCAGGGGAGGGAGAGAGAGAAACACCGATAGGCTGCCTCATGCACGCTGCCTTCAGGGGATGGAGCCCGCAACCCAGGCATGTGCCCTAACCAGGAATTAAACCAGCAACCAACTGAGCCACACCAGCTAGAGCCATTAGTTGATTCTTGTATGTGCCCTTATCAGGGATTGAACCCGCAACCTTAGCACATCCAAACGACATTCTAGCCAGATGAGCTACCCAGCAAGGACCAAAATTGCATTTTTAAAAATGAACAAATTTGGCCCTAGCCGTTTTGGCTCAGTGGATAGAGCGTCGGCCTGCGGACTAATGATCTCTTGTTCAGTCCAGTCAAGGGTTTCGGTCTCCATCCCCAGTAGGGGGCGTGCAGGAGGCAGCTGAGGATCAATGATTCTCATCATTGATGTTTCTATCTCCCTTCCTCTCTGAAATATATTTAAAATATATTTTAAAAATAAAAATTTGGAGGCAAAATATAATCCAAAGTGAGGCTATTCCGTGGTCTTAATTAAGTATGAATATGCATGAGGGCACCCAAATTAGTATGATTATCCATACACTTTACAGTAGAAGTATCAATGTTTGGTAACTCGGTCCTGCCCAGGCCCTGCTGCTAAGTATTACTCTAAATTCCGAAACACATCTGGCCCCAAGGCTTTGGGGATGAGATTATGAGCTTGTATTCTTGCTAGGGAGAAAAGGGAAAGCTTTTTTTAGAAAGCAAGCTGTTTTTCTTAGTGCATAGTATTATTTTTCACCTTACATATCTCAGGAAAGTCCTGAGGAATCCTTCCAGGGTTTAAACTCACTGCCCCTTGCTTGATTCCTGTATATTCAAGGATTTGTGTGAAGAAAACACAGCGAGCTTGGAGTCAGGAGGCCTGCATTTCCCCTTCACCAAGCCGCTCTGGGCCTGTTTCACGATCCCTATGGCAACGCCTAGCAACAGTGCCTGGCATTTCATAGTCTCTTCATAAACATATGTTGAATAAACACTAAAACGAGATCGTTTTTTACTCGCAGGTTCTGATTTCTTCCTTCCTCTTGGTCCGGTTGCAGGCAGGGGCAATGGCAGCAGCGAGGGTGCAGAGAGGAGGGATAAGTCACAGAGCCTCTCGGACAGCAAGGGACCGAAGCGAGTTGCCCCAGTCCATTCAGCGTCCCCCTGCAGGAGGCTGCACCCCCGATCCTACCCCACGGACCCGTCTGAGGGTCGCTGTCCTTAAGAGGGCTACGGCCCTCCCTCCTTCCCTCCCCTTCCAACATTTGAGAGAAGTGTTAGCACTGGGCTGTCAGCTGCGCCCGGGCGCCCGGGGACACGCCGCGGAACCTCGTCGCTCACGGCGCGGCGCCCACACCGCCCAGAAGCCCGGACCTCCCGCCAGCCCCGCCCCCCCGCCCTGGAGGACCGCGGTGGACGCTCTGGCAGGGCGCCTCTCGCTGGTAGAGGCGGGTGGGCGGAGCCAGCGCCGCGGGGCTGTGGCTGCCGAGGGTGGGGACACTCTGGCCCGGCTCTCGGTGGTGCGGGCGCGGGTGGGAGCAGCGGCCGCTCTGGTCGGCGGACGTGCTGCCGGGCAGTCCCGGAAGCGAAGCAGCGATGGCGGAGAGTCCGACTGAAGAGGCGGCGACGGCGACGGCGACGGCGGGCGCCGGGGCGGCAGGCCCCGGGGCGAGCGGCGTCGCTGGTGTTGTCGGCGTTAGCGGCAGCGGCGGCGGGTTCGGGCCGCCTTTCCTGCCGGATGTGTGGGCGGCAGCGGCGGCGGCGGGCGGGGCCGGGGGACCGGGGAGCGGCCTGGCTCCGCTGCCCGGGCTCCCGTCCTCGGCCGCTGCCCACGGGGCCGCGCTGCTGAGCCACTGGGACCCCACGCTCAGCTCCGACTGGGACAGCGAGCGAACCGCGCCGCAGTGTCTCCTCCGGATCAAGCGGTGAGCCGGGGTCTTCCTCCCCCAGCCCCGAGCTCCAGGCTCGACCTTCCCTGCCCCCACCCCTCCCGCCACAGCTCCCTGCCGCCGGCGCGCCTCCCTCGGCGGCCGGTCCGGGGCGCCGGGGCCGAGCCCCCTCTTCCCCGCCCCGCACGCACCAAGCCCCTCCTCGAGTGCCCAGGTCCGACCCCGCCCCTCGGCAGCCCCCGGCGAGCCCTCCATCCCCCTGCCGGGCCCTCCCCCGGACCTCCGGCCCGAAACCCGACCCCTCCGCGCTCCAGTGCCACCCCCTCCCGCCCACCGCCCCGCCCCTCTCCCCCTTCCGCACCCCAGCCTTGCTAGGACTCCTTGGAGCTCCCACCCCTCGGGGTCCCTCGGTCGGCTCTTCCCGAGCCCCGTTTGTAACACACACACACACGCATCGCTTGCTTTCTTGGCCTCAGACCTGAGACCAGCCTTTGTTTTTATTCCGTTTCCTCAAACCCCCTCCCTAGCGTCCCTTCCCAAGGCTAGATCGCGTCCCACACATGCCCACAGCCTTCCCTGGACCCCTCCACTCTCACACCTGTTCCAGGAACTCGGGCTCCCCCACCCCCACCCCCACCCCCACCCCCCCATCTCACTCTGGCTTGTAATATCCCGGTCAAGGTATTTCTCCCCTGTAGTATTTTTTCCTATGGATTATCTATGGATGATTATTGTGGATTTCCTATGGATTATGGTTTACTTTTCTGAAGTAGATGTACCCAATTCAAATATAGGCACAAGGTCCCAAGTCCCTTCTGTGCTTGCTTCTTGGGTGACTGATCTTGATCATATCATGTAGTTGGTAATATTTTGCAAACATGCTTAGCATAGTACCTATTGCATAGGAGAAGGGCACTGCTTTTCAGCTGCTGTTAGTCCTGAACCTTGGGTCCTGATGACCAGACTCTTTCTCTCCCCATGCTCCCCTTATCCCCCGCTTTCCAAGTCCCTTCACGTGTATCTCTACCTACCTTTCAAGATTTTAGTGGAAATTAAAGAGTACATTGTGTATAATAAAGTACCTGGCACAGTGTGTGACACAGGACAGTTTTCCAATCCTGACATACCTTGAATTCTGCCAATACTTATTTTTTCTCTGCTCTACTTGCACTTTTTTATGTCCCTATGTCCCCTGGTAAGTCCCTAGCCCTTTTCCAAAATGTTCCCCATGAGACCCTTGCTTGCAACTGATGCATTCTAGTTTGTGAGGTAGGACCTAGAAATCCTCTCAATTCTATAGTAGTCACTACTTGTCATCTTCCAGATGTGAGATTCTCAGCAATTTCGGAGGGTCCCCTCCCCAGCCTGAAGCGATTTCAGCCCCATTAGTCTCCTGGGCAAGAAGATCCTTGCTCCCCGCTAGTTCACTTGCCAACAAAGGTCCACAATGGTTTATGGAATTCATTGCTTAGTGGGGTTGATGGTGCCTTCCCAGTTAACTAAAAAAAGTTTTCAATTAGGATGCAGCTGTAGTACCTGAGAAATCTCGGGGGTGGGAGTGAATGAACTGCCATGTGGGAGGAAGTGAGAGTGAATGGGATGTGGCTTTTCCAGGGTGACATCTGATGCCATGGGGATCTCTGATTTTTTTCCCCCTCTCCTTATCCTTCCCCTGAGGAAACAATGCCCCTTTGATAATAATTTGCTCTCTGTCTGCCTGACAAGTACTCAGCTGAGATTTCTCAGCCAACAAGACAGTGCAAACATTTGTGGTACCAAGCACCACTTTCTCGAACCCTGGCCTCATTGAGGTGATAACAACTGTCCTGTTCAAGGGATTCCCCTTTTTTCTCCTCTCCCTCACTCCCTCCCCCACCTCCTCTTGGTGTTATACAGGGATATCATGTCCATTTATAAGGAGCCTCCTCCGGGAATGTTCGTTGTACCTGATACTGTTGACATGACTAAGGTATGTAACTTGCTGGGAGTCGGGATATATTGGGAAAGTGGGCCCATAAAGTTGGAAGAGTCTAAAAGGTTATCCAGCTCACATCTCTGATTGCATACAGAAGGAATCAAGCCCCCAAGAGAGTAAATGGCTTGCCCAAGATTACACAGTGAGGTGGAACAAAGCCTGGAACAGGTATCTTAGTAGGGTGCCAATAGGTCCTGCTTGGCTTGGAAAATCCCAGTTTACACCTATTGTTCCAGCTTAGCTATTAATAGGGCACTCTCATTTCAGAAGTGCTTCAGTTTGGATAATAAATTATGTGGTCACCCTACCATTGTACTACCCAACTCTTCTCCCATCCCACCACTCGCGACCTTTAAGGGTGCTGCTGTAAATCAGGTGCAGAGAGGGTTGGGGATAGGGCAAGCTCAAGTGAACAGTGTTTGTAGTTAAAAGGCATTGTTTAGGCTCCTATCCCTACTGGTTGCTTTTGAGTATCCCTTCCACCCAAATACCTTTCTTCTCTTGTCCTTCACACACAAAACACAGAGAAAGCTTAGTATGTAATGTCAAATTTCTCTGGCATAGATACACTGGCTTCTCTGTCATCGAGTGTTCTACCCTCAGAAGTGAATTTGCACTTAAGCTGATGTTGGGAAGAAATCAGATTTCCTAAATCTTGTGTTTAATGAAAACTCATAGTTTCAAATTTCTTAACAGTAGATTCAGATTTTGTATTGTTGGTATCTGTTATGAATAGGTTTCTCTTTCAATCAAAAATTTTTTTGTGGTTAGAAATGTTTTTCCTGGGACATCTTGTCCCCGGTCAAGTATCAGTATTAATATGCGAGTCCCTCGATTCCCAGAATCGATGCCACGTTGATGCCAGTTGAGCTTGCTATTCCAGTGACTGAGGCTGAAAGAAAATCTAGGGTGCCCCAGAGCAAGGCAGGGGCTACACTCTGAAGCATTGGATTGTAGGTCCTTCTTGCTGTTCGAATTCTGAGTAGACTTACATGCCTAGGAACCTTGTAGAAGAAGAAATATAACAGTTCAGATGAGGGAAATCTTGTTCAATCATCATGGCTGGAGGAAGAGAATTTAGTGTTCTGTTTTAAGTGCTACTGCATTTTTTCTTTTTTAATTTTTAAGAAAATTAACCTACAGTGCTGGGGAAAGTTTTGAGGATGGTCTGATGGCTCTGAGTAGACCATGAAGTTTTCCCGATTTTTCTTAGTACCTTTGACACAGCTGGACGCTCCCTGAGACACATCCTCTACAGCAGGTCTGATCCTCTGTAGAGGAAGTAGACACCCTGGGCCTCCATCACAACCCCCAGCTCTGTACTGTTACTGGCACCGGTGCTGTGGCTTCCAATCCCTTTCCTCTTTTCCATTCATCTTACTTCCCCTTTGTGCCACATAAATGGAGGGTGGAGTTGCATCATATGCATGTTAAACTTGGACAAACCCAAACATACCTCTATTCAGGAAAAAATACATATTTCTTAAAATTAAACAGGTTAGGATAATACTTTACAGATGCATATTATATTTTGCACATTGGTGTTCTATCCATTTGCTATACATAACACTGTTCAGAGAAGTTCGAGCAAAAAAAATAGGCTTTAAGGGAGTTTTAAGGATACTCAAGGATGATTTTGATAAGATTGACTTTTCACTTTAGGCTCTACCTTTAGAATGTAACCCCTGAGTAAGATGCCACTCCACTGGGCCAAACATGTTTATTAATATGAGTGAGTACAGGCTGTTCATTCTGCATGGAGAGGATATGGACTGTGGATACCAGATGAAGGTCCTGCTTCCAGCACGGGTAGCAAGTGGAAGCCAGGAGGGGTTGGGACGGGACATCACCTCACAATTTTGAGATGGGGTTTTATTTTGCAGATTCATGCATTGATCACAGGCCCATTTGACACTCCTTATGAAGGGGGTTTCTTCCTGTTCGTGTTTCGGTGTCCGCCCGACTATCCCATCCACCCTCCTCGGGTCAAACTGATGACAACGGGCAATAACACAGTGAGGTTTAACCCCAACTTCTACCGCAATGGGAAAGTCTGCTTGAGTATTCTAGGGTAAGAGGAGACTTCTAAGTGGCCAAGTTGGTTGTTAGCAAATAATTACTCTAGGCCAGCCTTTATCAACCGGAGTTTCTCGTCTGAACTACAGAACACAGAAAATAATTGGAGTGACTGTTTCCTCGATTCTCCCCAGGATGGTCCATAACTAGTATCGTTCCAGATGCAAAAGAGAGAAGCTAATTCATTACATACAGTGGATGCCTCAGTGAAGTGGTTCTCCCTGAGCAGCACCAGCATCTGGGAACTTGTAGCCTAACAGATTCTGGGCCCCCCCTCCCCCCACCCCCCAGACTTACTATATCAGAAACTCTAGGACTGGGGCCCAACAGTCTGTGTCTTGTAAGTCCTCCAGGTGATTCTGGTGCACACTCCTGTTTGAGAACCACTCCCGTAGGGCATCAGGGCTTAATTCTCTCCCAAACAGGTTGAGAAAGGCTGCAGATCTGTGCCATTCAAAACTGTGGGTGTCTTATTTCTGAGTCTCTCATTGAGTGACTTTGGAGGCGGTGATGATGGTGGTGATAATTATGATATTTTAACAACTGAATGAAAAATGCCTGAGATTGAAAATCACATCACATACAAAACACAGAAGTTTTAAGTACATTTCATTTCTGGGTGCAACTGAGATTTTGCTTCATGTAGTTCTCATCCATTCCTTTTAATTGCGTTAAGGGGTTGAAAATTCAGAATGGAAATGTCTTCTAGTATATTCTGAATTTGGTCCTTTTAGTGTGGTGTGAATTTCCCTGGGGCAGAGAGCAAGTGCAGGTTGCAGTTGAGAAAGTTACCCGTGCTGGTGATACTGTTTTCTTTCTTTCTGTCCAATAATTTCCAGGGTTGTGTGTGGACAAGGTAGCTGACACAAACTGGAGACATATATATATTTTCTAATCTCTCAGACCTAGGGGTATATTCTATAATTGTGACAGTAAGGAAGTCCTGTAAAGGAGGTTGTCCTTAAAGAAAGTCCTTCATCTCACTATGGTATATAATTGTCTGCAGGTAGGATAGTGGTCTGTGTAACGCACAGTGGTAAAGAAATTTAGTTATTGCCTCTGTTTGAAGTTTGTTCATGAAAGTGTTTTGTATTAAATTCTCCTTCATTAGGCCAATATAAAACTATTTTGAGCAAACACTGGCTCACCGTAGAAACAGGGGAAGCAAGATGGTGGTGGGTAAAAGTGGCAGAAGTATGTTGGGTGGAAAAGAAGAAGCTACCCTGAAATTGAATGTTTGCCACAAAGAATTGAAGTAGAAATTTCCCGTGAGTTCTTGGGTGATTATATTCACTTTTATTAGCCTCATTTCTTTCCTCCCCACCTAGAAAAAAATGCTGGGCTGACTTACTGACAAAGGAAATTTAATGAAAGTACCATGTTGACTTGAATCCCTGAATATGTGACACCTTAGCACAAAGTTTACAGTTTTGGGGGGAGCAAAGCTGAGAAGAACAGACTGAGAGGTACTGAAGAGCACGCTCTGATGTAGTTACTGTTTCACATCGCTTACTTGGGCTTTCCTCAAGTCCAAGGGGAAAGAGAATTGACCGGCTAACTTGAAGAAGCAGTTGTGACTCAGGTGCCCTCTCATCAGTTACTAAAAATAAGTATTTTTAATGTCCAGCCCACCCTCTTCCTCTGAATATTTGGTCAGATTTATGAAAGAGAGGAGTGGTTTTTCTCCTATTCAAGTTGTTTTTCATATATTTTCAGACCCTCCACAATCTAGAAGTGCCCCTTTTTCTATCTTCATGTCCTTTGGCAGAGTTCTGTAATCCTCCAAGAATTTGACACTCCTTGGGGGCTTGATAGAAAACTGGATCCCCATCATCAATCCCACCATGTGGCCTCTAACCAGATGGCTTTGTCCCCTCTGTCCCTCTGTGCTCAACTTCTCTCTCCTGATCCATCACACCCATAAGTAAATACGTAAGCTCTTTGAGATCCACAGAAGTTAACATTTTGACTCCCTTTGGAGCTTTTTCTCACCTTATTTCTTTCATTCTGATTAACAGAACCTTCCCTAGCTACTGTTTCTTTCCTAACCCAAAGAAAATCCCTTCACAGTTATCTTGCTTGCTTTACCCTCTTTTCTTTTGTCCCACTTGATAAGAGGATTAGGCAGTTGACTGATTTCTTGTGAATGAGGGTGAGACAGAGGTTGGGAAATCCCAGAGTATTAATAGTGAAAGAGAAAGGTTTTGCTGCTAGGCCCCAGGGTACTTGTGTACTGGTCTTTCCCCCTCTCTCTGTGCCTCATCCCTCTTCCGTTCCCTCTGATGTATTTTGCAGCACATGGACTGGCCCTGCCTGGAGCCCAGCCCAGAGCATCTCTTCTGTGCTTATCTCCATCCAATCCCTGATGACTGAGAACCCCTATCACAATGAGCCTGGCTTTGAGCAGGTAAGGCCAGGTGGGTCCAGCTCTGGGGTGTGGAATGTTGGGTTTAAAGAGATCTGAGAGGTCTGTTTAAGGGTTTTGGGATTGTTGTTTTTAACCTGGCTTAGCCTATGTATTAAACTTGTCACTTTAGAAGAAAAAAAAAAAGCTGGAATGTGTGCTCCTCATTAGTGAATTTTTTCCCTTGTAAGTTACAATAACACTCAAGTTATTTCCATTTGACTTGGATTAGTCCACCATGTGGAGGTCAGTGGAATCATTTGGAAATTAATTCTGAGCCTGCTTTGGGGGCTGTGCTATCCAGTGTGTTCTTCTGCATGCCTCCATTCTCCAGTGTCCCCTTGAGGTGTTCTCTAATGACTGCTGCCAAGCCAGACATTCTTTGGGAGTTATGAAATGAGAGTTGACCCTTGAACAATCCACAGTTGAAAATTCATGTACAGCCCTAGCTGGTTTGGCTCAGTGGATAGCATGTTGGCCTGCAGACTGAAGGGTCCCAGGTTCGGTTCTGGTCAAGGGTTATGGGAGCGTGCAGGAGGCAGCCGATTAATGATATTCTCTCATCATTGATGTTTCTATCTCTCCCTCTCCCTTCCTCTCTCAAATCAATGAAAATATTTTTTTTTTAAAAAAAAAAGGAAGAAAATTCTCATATAACTTTGACTATGATGGGCCCTTTGCATCCATCTATTCAACCGACTGTGGATTGAAAACGGTATTTTTGATTCGTGGTTGGGGATGTGACGATACTGTTTTTGATCAGCTGTTGGTTGAATACATGGATGTGAACCTGCAGATGAGAAGGGCTAACTATGTTTACTGGGGGAAAATTCACATATAATCAATAATGGTAGAACCGCCGAAACCGGTTTGGCTCAGTGGATAGAGCGTCGGCCTGCGGACTGAAAGGTCCCGGGTTTGATTCCGGTCAGGGGCATGTACCTGGGTTGCGGGCACATCCCCAGTGGGGAGTGTGCAGGAGGCAGCTGGTCAATGTTTCTCTCTCATCGATGTTTCTAACTCTCTATCTCTCTCCTTTCCTCTCTGTAGAAACTCAATAAAATATATTTTAAAAAAAATAAAATAAAATAATGGTAGAACCGTACAGATGTGCAAAGGAGTTGACCAGGAAGCATCCTAATATCTTACAGACTTTCTAGCTGAGACTCCTAACGTCATTTATGCATAATTGGTTCTTTCTCACCAATCCTTCCCTAAGAGGCCTTTCATTTCAGGCTTTGGGAAATTTGATGGATCTAGTTTGGTGGTTATAAATCAGATGACTCGTAACAGAGGATGGGTATTAGTATGCATTGGGAGGAGGAGGTAAACAGTCTCAAAAAGGAAGGCCTAGTTGCTCTTTAATGGGTTTGCCATACAGTGAAAAGATATTCCCTTGTTCAATTGCTTGGGTCACATGCTCCATACTAATTCTGAAGTCTTCCCATTGGCTTTTCTCTGTGTACTTGGATTCTATGGTGTCTGTCACGTTATAGGAGAGACATCCAGGAGACAGCAAAAATTATAATGAGTGTATTCGGCATGAGACCATCAGAGTGGCGGTCTGTGACATGATGGAAGGAAAGTGTCCCTGCCCTGAACCCTTACGGTATGTGTCTCGAGATCCCACGTGGAACTTGTATTCCTTTTGGAGATTTAGCTGGTTCATACCTTTGAGAACTTTTGAGGCAAAATCCAGTGTTGGGCACCAGAGGGAGACAGAGAAGAAGCAAGTGGTTTAAAAACGTGGTTCATGAGGGTTCCCCAAGGGGAAGTTTAGAGAGAGAGATTGTCTGTTCTTGGAGAATATCAGGCCTGATAGGAAAGATACAGTCCATATCCTCAGGGAGCCCCCAATTTTAAGAATCTGGACATATTAAAGACATAACTGTTCTACAGCCGAATGAGGTGTAGAGCACTTCATAATAAACGTATTTCTTAATGCCCAACTTTATTTCTAAGTGTTAAAACAAGAAGAATAAAGTCAAAAGTAATGAAACAAACTTCCTTGGAGAATGTTAAGTAAGGATTGGAATTAAGGATGGCCTATGGAAAACAAATGAGATTGAGCAAGACAGGAGTTGAAGTTGGGATTCCAATGATTGGTATTAACAGTTACTCATTTTATAATCCTTACGATTTAGAGAAATCAACCATGGGCTTAGGAACTCTAGCTGTTTAATTTGGCCTTAAGCTTCGATAGTGAAGGGTGACCCTTTGCCCCCTTGTTCCTAACTTAAATTTCTCTGCTTGTTTTCCAGAGGAGTGATGGAGAAGTCCTTCCTGGAGTATTATGACTTCTATGAGGTGGCCTGCAAAGATCGCCTGCACCTTCAAGGCCAGACTATGCAGGTAATGCAGCCCCTGCTGTTGACTCCAAAGGCTTTCCAGCAGACTATGTAAAATCCCCCCTCCAGAGTGACATCCACACCTGTCATAGAACTCAGAGCCAAAAGGAACCTAGTTTAGTTGAGTAGCTGAGGCTCAGAGGGAGCCTGACTTGCCTAAAGCCATATGGAGTTGGTTCTAAGCTCCTGGCATAAACTAGGTACTCATGAGCAGAATCTGAATCATTCTACCTAGAACTCCTCTTCTTGGTCAGTAGTCTTTTCAAATCAAGAACATTCAGCTCTCTCAGAATCCTAAGGATTGTAAGGGTACAGTCGTCTATTGGAATTCTGTCCCTAGCCCAGAGGGGTGCTAAGAGAAAGAAGGCTTAGAGAAGCATCCTATATAATAAAGAGGTAGTATGCAAATTAACCCTCATGCCCTCACAAGATGGCTGCCTACAACCAGGCTGGCACAGGGGGTTAGTGAGGGACGACCAAACGACTGAACAAGCAGGCTGCGTGGGGCGACCAGGCCGGCAGAGGGGGCAGTAAGAGGTGACCAGGCCGGTGGGGAGGGCAGTTAGGGGCGATCAGGCAGACAGGGAGGGGGCAGTTGGGGGCAACCTGGCCAGCAGCAGGAGGCAATAGGGGCGATCAGGCCAGGAACGGGGGGCAGTTAGGGGCGACCAGTCAGGCAGGCAGGTGAACTATTAGGAACCAGCAGTCCAGGATTGTGAGAGGGATGTCCAACTGCCAAGGATTGGGCCTAAACCGGCAGTTGGACATACCCTAAGGGGTCCCAGATTGGAGAGGGTGCAGGTTGGGCTGAGAGGACCCCCCCCTCCCCCCCCGCGAATTTCATGCTCTGGGCCTCTAGTTATGTATATAGTGTTATATGTTGAGATTCCTATTACAAGATGGTAACCAATTATTCATTCTGTGCATATACTGGGGAAATGTGCTTCAGCTTCCAATAAGAGTATAGAACTTGTCCTAGCTGGTTTGGCTCAGTGGATAGAGCATCGGCCTGCGGACTGAAGGGTCCTAGGTTTGATTCTGGTCAAGGGCACATGCTTGGGTTTCAGGCTCAACCCCCAGTAGGGGGCGTGCAGGAGGCAGTCGATCAATGATTCTCCTCATCATTGATGTTTCTCTCTCTCTCTCTTCCTCTCCCTTACTCTCTGAAATCAATAATAATTTTAAAAAAGAAAGAAAAAGAGGTTCTTATGAAATCAAATTGCAAATAGGCTTTAAAATAAACAGCCTGGTTGGTAGAGTGTGAGAACCTTTAGTCTTGAAGGACTAGTTCTTGAGTCTTTTGGATCACTTACTGGTGATGTTACTTAAAAATATGGCGAGTTGGGTAAATGACTAAGACCTCTTAAGGTTCTCTCCAGCTCTTCTTGGGTTCTCCTCCCCCACTCCCTCCCACTTCCCACCCAGCACCAGCAGCAGAAGTAAATGTCGCCGAAACCGGTTTGGCTCAGTGGATAGTGCGTCGGCCTACGGACTGAAAGGTCCCAGGTTCGATTCCGGTCAAGGGCATGTACCTGGGTTGTGGGCATATCCCCAGTGGGAGATGTGCAGGAAGCAGCTGATCGATGTTTCTCTCTCATCGATGTTTCTAACTCTCTATCGCTCTCCCTTCCTCTCTGTAAAAAATCAATAAAATATATTTAAAAAAAAAAAAAAAAAGAAGTAAATGTCTTGTTCCCTCAGGTGCTGCTTAGAAATGTTAGTTTCCCTATCCTTCCTTCAAGGACTTAACGCCCACCTGACACATTTAAACTCAAAGGGTAAGGCCAGCTCAAGAGTATATCAAGCCCCGATTCCTGGTCAGAGCACATGCCCAGGTTTCCAGGTTGATCCCCAATAGGGGCCGTGCAGGAGGCAGCCGATCAATGTTTCTTTCTCATGGATGTTTTTTCTCTCTCTCCCTCCCTTCCTGTCTCTCTAAAATCAATAAAAAAATATTTATTTTAAAAAGTATATTGAAGATGGTGGATGCTGTGGTTCGTTCCCCATCAGGAATAGCAGCATTTCCAATATTCCGTCTATTAAGGAAAAATAACTCATGATGAGGGAAGGATAGGGAGCGCAACATCTGGGGAGGACAGTGGGTAGAAGTGGAGCCAGTGACGAAAAAGGGAAGATTTGGCCTCGCTGGCGTGGCTTAGTGGATAGAGAGCGTTAGCCTGGGGACTGAAGGGTTCCGGGTTCCATTCCAGCCAAGGGCACATGCCCGGGTTGCGGGCTTGATCCCCCAGTAGGGGACATGTAGGAGGCAGCAGATCAATGATTCTCTCTCATCATTGATGTTTCTATCTCTCTCTCTTCCCCTCTGAAATCAATGAAAATATATTTTTTTTAAAAAAAGGTTTGGAAAATTGATAGGTCCAGAGTAAGTGTGGATTTCAGCCTTTGGGGGGAATGTAGCCTTCATAAGTGTAAAATGTGCGCTGTAGTCACAGTGACTGTGATTTGCGTCACCTTGTCCCTGATCATGAGGGTAATATATGGGCAGAATAAGTGTGGAAGGAGTTTATGTGGGTGAAGCAGACAGATTGTGAGAAGTAAAAATCATATGCCTTTTTGTGACCACCAAGGAAAGTAGTCTCCATTTATTTGAGCCTTGGCCTCACTACTTGGCTGCCATTTCCTTATGTAGCATTTTTAATTCTTTGTTTTGTTTTGTTTTGTTTGTTTGTTTTGTTTTAATTCATTTTTTTTAAAATATATTTTTATTGATTTCAGAGAGGAAGGGAGAGAGAGAGAAACATCCATGATGAGAAAGAATCATGGATCGGCTGCCTCCTGCACGCCCCCTACTGGGGATCGAGCCCACAACCCAGGCATGTGCCTTTGACTGGAATCGAACCTGGGATCCTTCAGTCCGCAGGCCAACACTCTATCCACTGAGCTAAACCGGCCAGGGCTTAATCCCTTTTTTTTATATCCTTCATCCCAATTGTATTTATTTTTGGACTTTAAGGACATTAAGCCCTTTCTGTGTAATGTTTGGAGATCTTTGATCTAGAATGACAAGGACTAGGATCAAGGCTAGTTGGCCCTGGCATGATGCCCAGAAACCTGGACAGGAATATGGTGATTGGTCCCTGGGAAAGAGTACAGGTGCTTATTTAGAAGTCAGAACTCCTAAGTTCTAGACCTCTCTGTGACCTTAGAAAACAAATTACCCATTTTGAGTACAGTAAGTCCTCACTTAATGTTGTTAAGTTCTTGGAATGGCATCAAAACAACATATAACAGAACCAAGTTTACCATAATTGATATAAAGAAGAATTGAGTTCCTAGGCATCAGTGTTGAACCAGAGTGATTCGAGGACCTATTCTATAGGCAATGAAGGATAATTTCCCCCTTGTATTTCTCTTCCCCATTTATCTCGCCTTTAGTGTCCCCTCTGTATATTGGCTTCTGAGGAATGCAAACACACTTGAATGTTGGCCAAAGCCAGACCTGTCTGGGGCAGTACATGTGCCATAATATTCCTGAACAAAGATTATGTTGTTTGCTGTTCAGAACTGTCTGTGCTATGCCCTCCTCTCTTCCTATGATTCAGAAGTTGAGCATGCGTTTCACATGGGCCCAAAGCTGCTCTCGCTAGGGTGAGCCACCCAGACTTGCATCTTCCATCCCCCTTGTCTCCTTTCCCCTACAGGACCCTTTTGGAGAGAAGCGGGGCCACTTTGACTACCAGTCCCTCTTGATGCGCCTGGGACTGATTCGTCAGAAAGTGCTGGAGAGGCTCCATAATGAGAACGCCGAAATGGACTCTGACAGCAGCTCGTCTGGGACAGAGACAGACCTGCATGGGAGCTTGAGGGTTTAGATCCTGCTCCCTTCTCCCTCCCCCCCACTTGAGAGTCCCAGCAAGTTCCTTCCCCGACCCCAGGGATGGAGAGGCACTGTGTATCTCCCTCCAGCGTGACGTCATCCTGCAAGATGGCAAGAACCAAGCAAGCTTGGATCTCCCAGGGTGTGGGAGTGGAGAGGCTGTTCCTGATCTGACTTCCCTGGCTCTCAAGCATCTGGGGCTGTGTTCATCCCGTATCAGGGGCCAAGGGACCTATGCAGGAGCACCTAGGGCGAGGGCCTCTGGCAAAAACGAAACAACCGACACACCTCTCCAAAGGGCCAGCTCCTTAGGGATAGTTGGGAGACAGAAATTGCAATTCCAAGAGGGAGTGTGCCCAAATGATTTATGGGGTATCTGGAAGGGAGCTTGGGGTGGGGGGCTGTCTGTGACACTTAAGCCGTCTGGGTGGTTGGTTGTCTGTCTGTCTTCAGTCTTGAAGCAGGGCTTCCCAATGCCCTTTTTCTCCTTGCCTCTTTCCCCCCATATTTCCCATGGGCCAGCATAATTTTGTTTTTCCTAATTTATAGTCACTGTTCTAGACAGACCAAAGAGAAGGAACAGTGGTGGAATCTAGGCTGCTGATCAGTGAGTTTTACTTAGCACCTGAGCACCTTTCTCTCCTCCCATCCCCTCACCCATTTCTAGATTTAAGACAGAAGGTAAATGTGATGGGACTGAACCAAAGTCTTGGTAAATCCTGCACAGGTACCATAGGAAGCCGAAAGTACTATTTATTCCCAAAATCATTGATTTGAAAAGTTCCCACTTCAGGCAGCTGCTGGATGTATGATAGAGCCACTATATAGAATAGTATCTTACAGATTTTCATCAATACTAGTCACAGTGAGGGTATTTCTCCTGGGTGGGGTGAGGGGGGAGGCTGATGCTAATCCTGTTGTATTTTGTTGGGCTGTCCTTGTGTGTTCCCCCCATCCCCAGCCTGTAGTCCCCCTTCCTCACATCAAGGCCCAGGGACTAATGGGGAGCAAGGGTAGCCAATGGCAGAGATTGGGGGTGGAACTCTCCTGGAGACTCCTACCCTTCTCTCCCTGTCCCTCCCTCCCAGCTGCTGTTTGTCACTGGCTCTGATGGGTGTTTGCCTGGCTGTGTTGCTTATCTGTATTTAGCTGCAGTGATCCTTTAGCTGGTTGGCTCAGAAAAATGTGCTTTAGGTGCCCTGATACTGGGCATCAAGGGAGTCCGTATTTCCCATTTTGGAGGGGTTGTCCCCGTGCTTTCCAGATTGTTACGGCTCCCAGTGGGTTATTGGTGACCCGCCTGACACAGGGTCCAGCCACATGTAAGAGAGAGGATAACTTGTATTTGCTCTTCCAGCTGCTATGGAGGCCTCTGCCTTGTGAATCATGGGACTTCCCCGGGGGAGGTGGGAAGGGGGTTGGGCACAAAGGAGAATGTCCTACTTGGGGGCTGGGCAGGAAGCAAAGAAACTGGACAGGAAGTGGGTCTGGAGAGCGGAAGTTCATCTTGGATATCTAAAGGGTGGTCTTTCCACAAGGAGACTCAAAAAGGCACCCTGCTTCCAATTTCCCTCTCCCATTCCCAGAGCTAGTACAGGGCTTAGAAGAATGCCCTTGGTCTGTCGGTCCAGTGTTGTCTGTCATCCATTTAAGTGTTCCCACTTTCAAGTGACAATCTTCTCCTTGGCCCTGCCATGGGCAGAGCATGTCTGGCATACTGGCCTGACTTTTACTCCCTAATCTTGAGGAAATATATGCACAGGAGTCAAAGAGATGTCTTTATATCTGACTGTACATAAATGAAGTTTTTTTTTTCTTTTTGGTGCAATAAAGTTTGTTTGGCAGAAGGAGGAAGCGCCTGTGGGTGCGGGAGGGCTTGTGTAAAGGAAGAATGGGATGTTAACGACCACACATCTCTCCTAGGCCAGAAAGTAAGTGCTCAGTGAATTGTCTGGAAGCTAAAAACGAGTTGCATGATGTGGATGGGAGCAGGACTACTGGTAAAACTTCCATCAACCAGAAATAGGGCCTTTTTTCGAGGCTGTAGCTCTGGCAATGAAGGAGAGCAATGCCATTGGAGTCTCAGTTGCTCCCAAAGATATACCTATTCAGAAACTGGACAGTGAGTGTGTCCTACAGGCACAGAGAGAGGTAAAGATGGACAGGCTATATCCCCAAGGGAAAGGTGTCTTAGTATGGATAATCCATTGGGGTTTGTTTTCTGTACTAAGTCAGCCCCTAGGAGTTAGCATTCAGACTGAAAACAGAACTGAACTAGCCTTCCTGCTCATCGCCACCCCTGCTTTTCTGGTGCCGAGGCGTTTCCTATTCACTGACCATTCATGGAGGAAGGATGTCCTGCCAGCCTGTGTCTGCAGGGTGGGCTCAGGTTAGTGGGCCTGGGCTCTAGTTTTGGCTTTGCTTCTTAAGCTGGTGGTCCCTGGCAAATTAGATTTCTTACCTGCAAAGTTAAGGATACCTATTTCTTTTGTAAGGTGGTAGTGAGGATTAAGAGGTGTATATAGAAATGGTCACAGGGTAGGGATTCAGTAAATTACTTCCTTTCCCACAACTAAGGCTACAAGGACCTAGTGATCAGTCCAGGAGGAAAAGCTAGTAGGGAATTTGAGAAACAATATTACATTCACTATTAGTCAGTTCCCCTTAAATCCCATTGTTTTCTTCCCTATAACCACCATTTAACATTAACCTCTATTTCCTTCACACTCCTAGCCGAGTCTCATAACCTGGAACCTCTACAAGAGGATGCTGGAAGAGGGAATATAATTTACTAGTCGGTTAGGATCTTATTTGAGATAAAAAGAAAAAAAAAGACATTTTATAAGGAATAAGTTTGAATTAACAGAGGCTGTAATTTATGTCTCAGGGCTACAAAGAGACTAGACTGTCTAGCCGGGAGACAGATGGCCTTCATTCTAGGCCCAGCTCTAGCATGGACTCGTCAGTGGCCTGTGCAAGTCATTTTACGTGCTCGTCGTTCTGTTACTCAGGTTACCCTTACTGGATAAATGAGGTTTTCTCCAATAAAGACGCAATGTGAAGGCACTTTAAAAATAAAATAAAACAATGAGTGAAGAATATTGGGGGAAGAAAAAAACTTGGAACATTTTTTTCTGTGTGTGTTTTTTTCCTTTTTTTAAACAAAGTTGTCCAGGTTTTGTTCACCCACAGGTCCTCCCTCTTCTCCCTGCCTGCTGCTGAGCCCCCTTCCACATGCCCAGAGTCAGGGGAGGGCTTCTCTGGCCTCCTCAGCTGTAATCTCCTGGGAGTAGAGGTCAGTGAAGAGAGCAGGCAGCCAGTAGTGGGCCTCGCCTGGGGCCTGCAGGTCCAGCCAGGCCAGCCCTTCCTTCAGCAGGTGTTCCTGGAGGGAAAAGGAAGAATCATTTGAGAAAGGGGAGGAGTTCCCACAAACAAAAGTAGAGAATCCCCAATCTTATTCTGGCTTCAATAGGGTTTTCAGATTAAGTCCACACCAGTGCCTTCACACATTTACACAACCAAACTGTAATGATCTGTTTGGCTCAATCTTTGAGGTGTGAAAAATGCCACCAAGTCACTTAACCAGTGCTGCTCAAAAAGAGGGTACAACCACAGAAGTATTGTATATGGCCTTGAGCTAATCACAGACTCCATTCCCTGAAGCAAAATGGAGATCACTGTCTTGCAGTTACTTTACTGGGTAACATGGGTAAACCTTTTTGGAGAAGTTAATGCAAGTTCATTATTAGTATTTATAATGGACTCAATTCCTACAGCTGGAAATAGGCTCAAGATGAGTTTGTTCTGCCCAATATTAAACAGATGTGTATGTTTATCTTTACAGATGTCTATGTTAACATTACAGATGAAGTTGTGTCTACAGGTTAATTGTCTGGATAAGAAAGAAGGTATTAAAAGCCTACATTTCCATGCTTACTCCCTCTTCACAACATCAGTCTTTCATTAGTACCATGAAATTTGTATATATAAAACTATAACTATATGCAACAGTATATAATTATAGGTATATATGCAATAGTATATAATTTAGGTATGTAATTATCATAAGTGTTAATAATTTCTTTCACTCTGAACTGTTACTTCCAGTATAAACTGTATTAACCATCTGGCCGCGTTCTGGTCAGGAGAGAGCAGGTGTTGGTGATCCTCTAGTGGTGGTGGCAGCCCGGTGTTACATGTGTCAAGGTTAGAAGCCTGCCTTTATGCATTCTACCTCTCAGTGCCCTCTTCAGTGACATGCCGGGGTTACTTTCAGTGTGGCAGCAGTAGCCTTCAAGGCAAGAGGCCAGCAGATCAAGGCTGACACTCCTAACTGTGTGGTTCCTGACCACCCACTTCCTCCCATTTGGGGCCCATCTTTTCTGGGTCATTCCAAAAGTCACATACCAGCACATGCCGAGCTCGCTCTGTCTCCCATTTAAGACTGGCTTTGATATCACTGACAGTCACGTAGCCATTTTTCTGAAAGAAGGAGGAATGGGAATTTTTAGAACCCAGCCTTTGCCCAGGGACAACTGACTTATCCAGACAAGGGGAGGAACGGTCTGTGGGCACAGAAAGCCGATGAGCATATAAAAAGGATGTTTAGAGGTCCCAGCAGCGAGGAGGAGAAGGGAGGGGTGACTCAGGTAACGGGTAGGTTGAGTGATTCAGTCTTAAAAAGTAGAGTCCCTGGCACTAAATATTAATTTTTACTTTCTCAGAGAACTCAAGTATGACAAGGGAAGATTCAGAGTGACTAAGTGATAGGAAAAAGTGATAATCTAAAATATTTAAATATTCAGCCCCTGCCTGTCTCACCCTACCTGTTCTCCAATCAAGAAAAGCCCCTCCTTATTAGTTTTGTTCTACATTACAGAATTAAGAAGACTGAACATGTCTTCTTTAAATACATGAATGATAAGGATTTGGGGGAGGATGGCCTATGCTTAAGGCATGATGAGGAACAGGGGATGGCCAACAAGATTTAAAAATTTGTTTTAAAGAATCCATAATGTAGTTTTAAGAAGACATCCAAGAATCTGTCTACCCAAGGAAATATGGTTAGTTGTCTGCATGTCTGTCTACTCCACTAGACTGTAAGCTCCTTGAGAGCAGGAACTACGTGGTACCCATTTTTATATGGCCCACAGCCTAGCCCAGTGCTTCGCACTGTAGCTGCTCAATAAATGTCTGCTAAATGAGCACAGGTCTGAGTAGTACATCCATTAGACAGTTTCAGCAAAAAGTGAGATCAAAGGTGCTCCAGATCCCCTCCCTACCATGCAACACACACACACAGGGCACATCAGTACCTCTGCCAGCTGCAGCACCACAGTGTGATCCATATTGAGCTCAGCTGGGACAGACTGAATGAGGTAAGTGCCGCTGACAGGGATGATGCCGAAGCCAGTGCCAAGGGCCTTCAGTTTCTTGATGGCCCTGATCAGGTCATCTCTAAGGTGAGGAAGAGCTGCTGAAAGACCGTTGGCAAAGCAAACCTAGCAACAATGCAATTTCAGCTCTGCCCTGGGCAGAATACCTTGACAGAAGATTCCAAAGGCTGTACAACATTTAACTACTTCAGTAAAGAGGGTTAAAAGGGCACCAAACTGCTTGAACATTCAGGGAAGATGGTCAGGCTCTCCACTCAACAAACTAACTCAAATTAGAGGAAAAGAAAACCTGCAAAACAACGTGTAGACCACATATTCAGCCCACACTAACAACCCCACTAACAACCTTCCTACCTTTTCTCAAACTGGAGTCACACACGGGGGCTGGGTGAACCAGAACAATTGATACCACATCTTCTAACCCGTGGTCGGCAAACTGCGGCTCGCGAGCCACATGCGGCTCTTTGGCCCCTTGAGTGTGGCTCTTCCTAAGCCTTAGGAGTACCCTAATTAATAACAATGTACCTACCTATATAGTTTAAGTTTAAAAAATTTGGCATCGTTGTACTGTTGATATTTGGCTCTGTTGACTAAGGAGTTTGCCGACCACTGTTCTAACCCAATCCCCTTCCCAAGCCTCTCCGGGCCCCTGCCACTCTACCTGACCTCAATCTCAAGAGTATACAAAGACCCAAGAATGATTAAAAATATACACATGTATGCATGAGGAAAAACCTCAGAAGAAAACATATCCAAATGTTTACCAGTTCTATCAGTTGAGAAATAAGTGGTTTTTGTGTTTTTTATATCTCTCTGTATTTTGAGTTTTCTGATCATAATGAGGAATAAAATGATTCCTAAACTATCCTAGACATAGAACAGTAAGGAGAAAAGATATCCATTTGCTTTTTAAAGACCTTTCTATACTCCAAGAGGCTGGAAGTTAAGACCTACTGGCTGACATCCTGAGCGAATTTGCCTCTTCCTTTTAACACCTGTTGATGTAGTTCCTCCAGAGTTATTAGTCCTATTGGAGAGGGGAGACAGAAAGCAGAGGAAGAGTTACCTTTATGGCTAATAAAACAAACAAAGGCAGCAGCATCTCTGAAAAACTATAAATGCATCTTCACATCAATATTGTCTACTTATAACCAATGATTTATAACCGGTTTTTTAGGTTTTCTCTTTAACTTCAACACAGACCATTTCCTGTGCGTATTAAGATGACACTACTGGATGATCATATTTAAGGTCACATTTTGTTTTATTTTTAAACATGTTTTTATTGACCTTTTTTTTTTTAGGAAGGGAGAGGGAGAAAGAGAAATATCAATCAGCTGCCTCCTGAACACCCCCTACTGGAGATAGAGCCTGCAACCAGGGCATGTGCCCTGACCGGGAATCAAACCAGTGACCTCTTGGTGCATGGACCGATGCTCAGCCAACTGAGCCACGCAGGCCAGGGCTAAGGTCACATTTTAGAGAACACAGACACTTAGTTGGCATTTTCATACCCTATTTCCTACCTCCTTTCTATTTTCTGCGATGAATAGGGGCTAGACCTTCCTAGCCAAAGATCTCTGAAGAATAGAGACAATCATCCAGGTAATTCCATTTACCCTGGCCATAGAGACCTACCACCAACTCAAGGGCATGAAGCAGCTAACATGCTTCTCAAGACCTTATTGGCCTGCAGATGGCAGGGTGGGAAAGGCTATTTTTCAAGGTTTATTCTCCCTCAGAGAAATCCAAAGCCCAGTCCACAGAACCTAACCACCCTCACCTCCATTCCGGTGCTTCAGGGCCAGGCACACTTCAATAATCTGGACGCCCAGTTCATAATAGAAGTCTCCCACACCTAGCATCTCGGACCAAAATCCTTTCCCAGCTGAAAGAAAAACAAAAGCCAGGTATTCATTAGTTACATCTTTTCTTTTAAAGCTACCCTATGGGAGTCTTCCCTGCCTAGCCTTAAGTCCTTCTGCTCCAATATTACTTAGTATCTTCAACACAATCTGACTCTTGAAACAGGCTCAGACAGTTGTAAAGGGTAGGCCATCAAAAAGGCATTTCTAACTGGCTGCTGATTCTGGCTCAGGATACTATAAAAATGAGTTTTCCTTTCCCAAAGTATACAGTGAAACATAACGGGACATATGGTCGACAAGGCTAAGGGCAATACACAGACCTAGCATTCAAAATCTATTGAAGGCAGTATTTTGAGTGAAAAATACAGGTTACAGCGTTGTACTTATAGCATTAATCCATATATGTGAAAGAAATTGATAATATGAAGGTGTCTCGAAAGATATACCTTACCAGTACTTTATCTCTGAAATTATAGGACTGAGAAGACTTCTACTTTCTCCTTTTCTTTTTTCTCCTTTGCTGATAGCATGATCACACATTATTTTCATTAAAACTAACTATTTTTTAATAAAGGGAAAAAAATGGCCATAAAAAATTCCACGGTAGGTCATTCAAGAGAAGAACACTGGCTCCTCAACCTGCATTCCAGCCTCTCCATCTTCCCCATCAAACTGGGCACTCAATTGTCCTGCTGGGCACTCTGTAAAGACAACACTTTATCTCCCTGCAGTCCTTTCTAGAAGATGCCCTGTACCAGCAGTGATAGCAACTAGGTAGCTTCTGTCCCTTGGGAATCCTAGGAGAACACAGATTCCTACAGACCACTCCTTACAGGCCAGAGGGTCCACCCCAATGGTGGCACACATATCCTGGAACTGAACCCGAAACTCAGGATTCTTTCGGATTTCTTGCTTGTGTTTGCTGGCAAATTCCTCCAGGTTGGTCTTGAACATGTCCAATTGCTTCGACATCTGTAAGATGGACAAGGGGGAGGGTAGGATTAGCCCCGCTAGGGGAGAATCAGATGTCAAACATAGGTCCCGGCCCAGTGGCAGTGCAAAGGCTGAAGGAAGGTATGTCCTCATCCTCAGATCTGCCATTACACTGTTTTCTGTTCCCTTTCTTTTCACATTAGATCATTTTGTTTGTTTTTAAATATATTTTATTGATTTTTTAAAGAGGAAGGGAGAGCGATAGTTAGAAACATCGACGAGAGAGAAACATCGATCAGCTGCCTCCTGCACACCCCCTACTGGGGATGTGCCCGCAACCCAGGTACATGCCCTTGACCGGAATCGAACCTGGGACCTTTCAGTCCGCAGGCTGATGCTCTATCCACTGAGCCAAACCGGTTTTGGCTGTTCCCTTTCTTTTGATCCCTGCCTCTCCTTCACAGGTCTGTTGTCAGCAGAAATGAGACGCGGTCATGTCTCCTTATTTCGAAAATCCACTTTTTTTTTTCCTGTTCTAAAGTCAAGATGCATCTAACAATGTGCACATCTAATGTGGTACTTCTTTTCCCCAGGAAAACTGTTATTAAGTTGAAGATGAATCTAGTGAGTCATTTTGTGTTCAAAATGAGGGACTGCAGCATGCATGCAATGGGAAAGCTTCCGCCACTGAAAGGCTGGATAGGAGAACAAGGAAGCCTGGCATGAGTTAGGTGTTGCAGTGGTTGTCTAATCTGAGTCATGGACCTCCTTGGGGATCAATTCCAGATAAAGAATCCCTGACTGAGGGCTGTGGGTCTTCCAGATTACATTCCAAAGTTAAACACAAGTATTTTGGGGATTTTCTGACGTCCTGTTTGTATTAACTCCTTCTCACAAAGCCTGTCTTCTACCCCACCAAGAGTAACGTCTGGCCCACTCTCTCTTCACTTGCTGCACATGAGACACTTACATACAGTTTAGTCATCATTTCCAGCTGTTTCCCGCATGCCGCCTCCCCAGGAGTGAGAGCTTTTGAAAAGCACAACCCGTGCCTACTCTCTTTCCTCAGTTCAAGGGCCGGTTTCCCTCCTTAACTGCCTTCTCTTCTTCACCAGTTACAATAACTGAGTAAACGCAGGGCCAGCACAGAAAAGGGAAACGGTTAGAGAAGGAAATGTGCACCCGTCACCCGTACACCCTTCTGGTACATGACGTGATGCTCCTGGTGATGGGTGCCACAGGGTAGGCAATACTTTCATGTTATTCTTAGGAATTTATTTAAACTTGTTAATATATCTTTATTGATTTCAGAGAGGAAGGGAGAGGGAAAGAGAAACAGAAACGCCAATGATGAGAGAGAATCATTGGTCGGCTGCCTCCTGAACGCCTGGGGATGGAGCCCAAAACCTGGGCATATGCCTGGGCCGGGAATCAAACTGTGACCTCCTGGTTCATACGTTGAAGCTCAACCCCGATCCACCGCAGCTGGTCTTATTCTTAGGAATTTAAAGTAAGAACTCCAAAAAAGACCTAAGTCCAACAGCACTACTACTTACTACCCACGTAACCTTAGACAAATTACTTAATACCACAGGGGCCTCAATTTTAAACTAAAAAGAACAGTGTTCCTTCCTGGCAGGCTTTTCAGGAGGAATGAACAAGACAGTCTACGTAAAGAAAATGGACACAGGCCTGGCGGGCTGGGAGCATGTAGTCACTCAACGATGTTAACTATCGTGATCGTCAGCAAGCCAGCGAAAAGCTCCGAGGAGCTCAGCAATCAGGATCTGCCAAATATCCTCTTTTTAACGCAACCCAAACAATCCAGTTTATACCCAACGTGTCCTGCCCAGCCCTGGGGGGTCTCCCTTCCTGCCTGGAGCCTTCCAGCGACTCACCTGGGCCAGCTGGTCCTCAGCCAGGACAGTCCCTCGCTCCTTGTACTTGGCCTGTCAGACAAAGAGACCAGCGTGAGCGGAGCGAGTGGGCGCGGGGCCCCGCTCGTGCT